GTTATTGAGAAACAAGAAAAACTATCTATTTGTTTTGCCTATCTGTTCTACTGACAAGTTCGTCCAGTTTTGATTGAAAACAACTATTTGGACAATTTCTGTCGTTTTATCGACTCAATGGTAGAACAGGAACAAGAAGATCTAAATCATTCTAATTGTTTTCGTTGATATCCATTATCCTCCATCTTCTTCCACCTCTCAGGGAGAACTTCGCACAAAGTTGAATACTAGGTTTCCATGGATGTGGTTAGTGATATGTACGCGTTAGCAGAGCGACAGCAATCAATGGCTGCATTTTGTCCTTTATGAGTCGTAGTGCTTAGATATGCTTAGAAATATCTAGTCATATTTGGCTAAATATTGGCGACAATGTTAACCTTTTATTTGCTGCCTAATACAATTTTTCATGGTATGGTGTGATGTGAATTACAACCACAACGATGCCAAAACATTCGCAAAATTTCTACCCGGAGCCAAATCGAACCTCGATTTTCCTTTACGGAGGATCGCGTATTACATATTGCACCACGTTGGTCCTTGCGCACGGAAAGGAAATTCATGGTTCGATCTGGCCCGGAGTTCAAGTTTCGCGAATATCTCAGCATCTTTGGGATTGACGGTAATGTTGCCGAATATATGTCGACCATGATTTCACTAATATGGAACTCTGTTATTAAATGCTGAACTTAAAGAAGTGCTGAGGTTTCAGGAAATCTTTTATATAAATTTTACTATGCTTAGTGATTTGGTGATTGGTTTCAATGTGTTCTAAACCTGTGCTTTATGAATAGTTGACATTGCAGATGTATGCTACGGACAAGAGCGACAGCGGGATAGCTTTAAGCACCGCCGTTAACGAGGACGAGACGCAACGTGGTAATGAGCAGGCCACACCGAAGTCCTCGATCTATATGTCTGACACCTCATTCACGGCAAGTGCGGCAGGAGGGTACGATCTTGATCGACAATTGATTACTATTCCGATTTTGGACTCAGTTTTCGTTTTTTAAGTATATTTTATCTTTGCAATCTCTGTTAGGACTTAATATTTACCCCGTGAAATTTTTCTGTCTTGTGACTTTGTCCGTTATTAAAAGCACAAGTGAGATCGCTGTTTAAAATTTTATGAACAGGTCGAAAAGCGTTAAATCTTAGGGCTGTGCAAATCAGAGTAACAAATGCTTTGGAGTGAACTATTTATAGCAACATATTTTACTATGCATTTTGGTGTAAAAGTGTTCGTCTTGAGTTGGGCTACACTAGCGTTCTAAGTGTTATATAGGTGCTACTAAAATTTATCACATATTGTTTTTTGCTGCTTAACAGGCCATCTGTATTGTGCAGAAACTTTTCTTTGACTTGGAAAACTTAACTCATTCAATTTTATTTCGTCGGCAAACCGGATGTATTCTGATGATTGCATGGATGGGTGCCAGCAACAGTTTGTACCCTATTTGTTGATTGGGTGAGCGATTTATCCCGTGAGTATGGCTATGTATAGCCCTGCTCAACTGAACGCCGCTTTTCTTCATCGGGCCTTTGAATTGTCGAGATATCCTCGGCCTTGATTCTTCGAGAAGGAAGCAACTATTTATATTTTGTTCATAGATAGCTAGTTGGTCCTCTTGGTAAAACTTTTCTCCTTGCCACGCCTTGGTGAGGAGACGAACGATACAGAAAGATGGGCATATGAGTTCTATTCTTTTTTCATGACTTTTACTTTTATTGTGCTTGGTTTGGATGTTGAAGCTGTTATGGATAACCTTCTTTTGGCTAGTATATGGATCTACGGACCTATGAGGTGGCGAGTTTTCTTGGCTCCTCTCCCGTACCTCCTTGGCTGTCCCATTCAATATTAACTGCAAAGAATAATGAACAAAACACTACTGAAGGAAGACTGAAATCAAATGTAATGAAGTTTGTCGTGTGTAATCCGAACTGTCTTGCTTATCATCGACGGTACTTTAATATGATAGGTATTAAGCGGTATTGTTCAACACAGATGGTTCATACAGCAAAGACTCGAGTGGTATCATCTTATCATGGTCGCTACTTTTATATTAAAAATCACTACACATCTCTCCTGTATCACCTGTGGTCCTATTGATCGTCGAGCGACTCGAGCGGGCGCCAGTTAATCTTCCACTTTTCGCTGTCGCGTACAAGAGTAGCCCAATGGGTTCTACTCGTTGTAGGGACTCGTTGTGCATATTATCCTTCTTCTAGACTTTTCGTGAAGAACCCTGACCATCGGGTAAGTGGTCTTCCTGCAGTGTGTTTGACATCCCGAGGAATCCAGTCACTAACGGCTCCAGTACATCGGTTGTCGTTCATACTAATTACATGCACAGCCCACGTTATTTTCGACAGTTTGGTGTACAGAACGGCGTCTTTGATTTTTGATCGCTGACGCAGATCGGAGCCTCGGTCTTCTGTCACTTGCGCGACACGGAATGCTCCATGCATCGTCTTTTCGATTGCGCCTTCAATAACGCTTGGTGACCTTTCGTCCTGCTTATGCAGCGACCAGGTTTCTGACTCATACGTTAAGGCAGCAAGTAGCGTTGAGTCGAAAAGGTGGGCACGGAATCGGATGTTCTTTGTTCTCCTTGTTACTTCTTCGATGTTCTTGAAACCTCGCTAAGCTGCCCGTTTCCTTCTGCCCAACTGTGGAGCTGAGTCGTTCATAACGTTGATTTCTCTACCTAGGCAGACGTAACTGAAGTGTTCGGAGGTAGTCATTCCATTGATTGTGAATGGGCAAACGTAACGAATCCGTTCCTCATGAACATCGTTTTTTTAGATTTAGTCTAAGACCAGTCTTTCCACAGGCCTTGTGAAAGTGGGCAAACATTCATTCCGTTTTGCTACTGTTTGATGTTATATTATTGAAAACGATGTCATCAGCAAAGCGAAGGTGATGTAATTGCCGACCATCGATTTTCACTTTCATCTTGTCCAATTCCAGAGTTCGCACCACGTTTTCGAGGGTGGCTGTAAATAAGTTTGGTGAGGTGGTATCACTTTGCCGAACACCTCTTTTGACGTCGACATTCGCATCGTTATTGAATGGTGATGTTTTGGCTATGAAAATTTTATATAACATACGAAGAATCTTTATGTACTGAATAGGAACTCTCTAACTGTCCAGGGATTCCGTGACTGCTGCGTCAAACCTTTCTCTAAATCGATGAAAGTGAGACAGAACGGTTTTCTAAACTCTCACGATATTTCAGTGAGTGTTGTTATCGCGTGGATATCGTCCATCGTGCTGAATCCTTGTCGAAACCCCACTTTCTCACATGGCTTGCCTTCGTCCATTGTTCCGTCAGTTCTGTCTAGGATAACTGGAGTGAAAAGTTTGTAGACGACAGACAGTAAACAGATTGGGCGATAGTTGCCAATATCGTCGAGTTCATCATTCCTGAACAATAGCATGATCTTGCTGTTCCTCCATTCTGTTCCTTCACTGAATTGGTTATCTTTCATTTAGAATGGTAACATTTGAAGAGCCGAGCCAGTGTGTCTATGAGGACTGGCGGAATGTTCTTCAGGTGTTCAGATCTTATCCTTTCCGGAACTGGTGTCGTTCGATTTTTCACCGTCGAAATACATGTCAGATTTCGGAAAAGAGAACCATCAATACGTCACATCCATCCTTTATTTCATATGAGGGCAGGAGGACGTGGCTATTGAAGAGATATGAGTAGCAAGAGTAAACGATTTGCTTTTTGCCTTTCTGGACACTGTAACTGTTCCATCTGAGTGTCGAAGTGCAGTCATCTTGGTTCTGCAATTGTCGAAGCTTCGATGGACTTTACGAATGCTTTTCCCAGCCATCGTCGATCATTACTGCTACTCTTCTCTCTTTAAGATCTTTTATCATCTGTCTGCTTTGTTTCTAAGTTTCGGATGTAAGTAGTCTTTACCTCGCGCGGCTGCACACTGGCGTATCACCTCGAGTGTTTCTGGGGAAATACGTCTCTTCTTGGTGACTTTTGAACTGTCAGCTTTCATAACGCTAAGGAGAAGATGTTTAATGAGCCGATCGTATTACTTGTGTCGATGTTATCGAGAACGGCATCTTCCTTGTAGCCGGCCAATGAGCTGAATGAATCCCAGTTCATGGTGGTCTTGCGACTTCTTTTTTGGATGTAATGGCTTTTTCTCCTTTCTGCGAGAATTGGAATTTTGTGCGAAGGTTGCGATCCCGTGTAGAATTTTGGGACATCAGCGACATTGGTTAGACAGAACGTTCGACTTACTATGCTGTCGTCTATTTCGTTATGGTACTCACCATTGGAAGACTCCGACGTCCAGCATTAAAAGCTGTGATTCTGGAATTATGAGTTGCCATGAATGGTCTTGGTCGTCGTGATAAGCTCAGACAACCGTCACCCTGCTCGTTCCATTCTAAGCCGTGGTTTCCAATATGACGTTCTTCAGATGTTTTTCTGGATCCAATCTTTGCGTTAAAATCTTCAATGGCGACTTTGAAGAATGTATGGTCTTCGCCGCAAAACTTCTCGACGTCCATATAGAACGCTTTGACTTCTTCGTCATAGTGGGATGTCGGCGCGAAGACGATAAAAGTTGTCATAGCCGTTATTGTTCCACATCTCTTCAATCGTAGACGTCCCATTCGGGTTGTTCGTTGTTCGAATGGATCGATCTTCATGCCCAAACTCGTGTGGACGGAAACGCCGACACCGCCTTTCATGAAGAACGTTGAATGGTTGGCTTCTTCTCGTCTCAGCCAGTCCGTTGACTTCATGTTTTATCTGTCTTCCCTGCATGATCTGTCTTCTCTCGACGACTCAGATGCAAGTGTCCATGCATTGTAGGTACAGATCGTCGCCATAGTTCTTTGCAATCCAGGTAGCTTCCACTGGTGCTGAGATTATAGTACCTAATGCTGCCGAATTGGTTTCTCTTTCGGCGTTATGCGAATGAGGCCCGGCCCCTAACTGTATTTAGCTTTTTTGATACCCACGTATGGTTTGCTGGGCTCTAAACGTGGGTGCTGGGTATACTCACGGGTAGCTTGCCAGTCTCTCCCGGAGTGGACATGGAGCTCGTTTGTTGGAGGCGACTCCTAACTTCCTCCCATATACTTCCCAGTCATTTGATTGCAGACTTTTGGCCGAATTGACTCGTAGAATACAATCCGCATAAGCAAGAACGCACCCACACACGCATGTATGAATACGGCTTGCAAATACAGAAAGTATGTGCCAAATCAGCGCAGCAGAAACAGGGAGTCCATCCCCTGGATCCACCTGCTCCTCAGAGAAGCAAAGGTCGTTTTGGTCCGCGATTAACTCTCTATCCGCCGCCTGGGGAGGCGCCACGTAGCTTCGTGACTTACCGGCTCGAAATCCCACTATGTGAGAGATCTGTGGCCCTTCACATCTATGAGTGTAAAATATAATGCCGTATTTTGTCAGCACTTGTCTATAGTAACACCTATCTTTTTGAAGGCTTTTTAAAGTTTTTTAGCCGATTAAAAATTTTAGTTTTTTTTTTGAAGTTTGTTCTTTGTATTTTTCTTTAAATCTCGCATTTGTCCTCGTTACGCATGTGGCTTTTCTTTATTTGCTTGTTTTGTCTGTTCCTTTTACTCTTTCGCACATCCATTTTAGACGACCAGGTCATAAATCGTCGTTTTCAACACGGGAGATCCGAGAGCAGCATCAACGAATGCAGCAGAAATATCGTGAGGACACGAAAAGAGAACGACGTTTCACGGATCCCGTGGATTTTGAAGGTAAATGGATATCTTACTACCCAACTTAGTTAAACTATAGTTGGTCTGATACGGGTACTGTTCCCATGATCATGATTTCACAATCTTGCATACATTCTATTACTGCTGTTGCGTGTAAAGGTTAACACTCAGGAAGTTATCAGATACGCTTCTCTCTCCCTCGTTTTACACACTTCGAATAGCTTCGGGATTCGTTCCGAATAGATGTACGAACGGTGCAGAACACTAATTCGGTGTTACAACTTATTGCTGTGATTAATAAAAAGTTGGTCCTGGGAATTACTTTGTTATTGCTATTACTTTTATTATTATTATTATTACTGTAGTTTTTATTATTTTTGCTGTTTTTATTACTATTATTACTACATATATCACTACTAATTATTGGACCCATGTGGCGCAATGGTTGGGGGCACCCCACAATACATGTGGAATCGATCTCGCGCCCATGGCCCACCAAGCCTTCCATTCTTACGAGTTCGGCAAATTGGTGCCAGAGTTGTCTATGAGGGTAGCGACACTGGCTCAGTACCTCGGCAGACCACCGCGAGTCATTGTAAAGCCCAGATATGCATTCATTCACTTCCAAATGAAGCTTAGTAAAGTTGAATGCATGGCGCATTCCTCACGGATTGATCAACGCCGAGAGCTTTATCCTCTATCCTTTTGTTATTATTATTGGTATTACTATTATGAATTAGTTCCTTCGATCTCTATCTTGCACTCAAAGTGCTTATCTTTCGAAGCAAGCCAGTCACAACAAGTGAACCTTTATGAACCAAAGTAGTTTCATGATGAGCTTACGCGAGGTTGATAAATATATTAGAGAGGTTTCAAGTAGTTTCAGTTTAAGATCTTGTAAATGGATTACTGCTTATAAAATTCTTTTTTTCGTTATCATTCATTCATCCATTTCTTTTCCTTTTGAAGCACGTCGATATTTTTTAAAACGTTTGTAAGCATTATTGTTCGTTCATTTAACAATTATGCGATATATACTGTTTGAAAGTAACAATAGAACTTCAAATAGAGGTTTCCTCGGAAATGTTTTGGCTTGTGGAATCATTCTTCAACCATTAACTTCGCAGTCCAGGCAAGACTGTGCTCGTTAAGAACAGCAACACTGAAATCATCACACAGCATCTACTTTGAGTATTTTTGTCATTTCTTCTTACATATTTGACACAACAAGGTTTTAGGCATTTTGAATATTATTGGCGGATGTTCTTGGTGGCAAATTTGGATTTACGTTCTTATTGCCATGCAACAAATTCCGCATGCGATGTTTAATCTGAATGTCGTCTATATGATGTACGATCCGGAGCATTGGTGTGAGGTTAGTAACACCATTGAAGTTGTCGATTTGGTGGAGAGACACGAAACATCATGGTAATTTTCCAACGTATTAAAGTTTTTTTTTTGTCAAGATTATGTTAGTTTATTACATCTTTTGCCCTCGTTACTACCGAAACTACATGGAAATAAATTGGTGTTGTGTATACAAACATTATGCAGTCGTTCAGTTATCAATTCAAGTAGGATGAATACGACGTTCCGCTTATCCTCCTTTCCAAAGACCGATATCAAACCTGACATTTAAAACTTACAACGAGCCCTCATCAGCGCAGTGTATCGAGTCTTCTAAATCTGTCTGCCGAAGGAACCGAGTGTAGCGTAGCGGTTAGAGGTACCCCTATGATGCACATGTGGTCGTTGGTTCGATCCTGTGCCTTGAGTCCACCGAGCCTTCCATCCATGCGGTCGCAAATTCGTGCCGGACTTGTCTGGGAGTATGTCAGCACTGACCTGGTACAGCATCGGTACGCCACCAGAAATCATTCCATGGGCTAGATATGCATTCAGTCTCCTCAAACGATGCTTGATGAAGTCGGATGTATGGAGCATTCCTTAAGGATTGATCATCGACGAACGCTCTATCCTTTATCCTTTATCCGCCGAAGTGTAGTTTTTACAAAGATTACAGCGTAGCAGAAAGTATTAGGATCGTATTCTTGTGTAGGCCTTATCAAATCGATGTGAAGAAATATACTAGAAAAGATGATTTTATCTCGTTAAACTGTTCAGAACCATTACCAATGTCTTAACGCGGAGACTAATGTGGGAAAAATGGGAGCAAAACTCGATTGCAGGCAACTTGCTACATTATCTTTGATTCACTAATGTCGTTGCACCGTCAAATCCAAATATCGACCAGTCGAAACGAATACTGAATGAAACGGCTTGTTTAGCTAAATCTACTGTAGTGCGTTAAGATGCCCTACAATATATACAGGATCTATCGCTGGTTCGATTCCGTACTATAGGCGCACCAGGCTTTTCACCTCTTCGGTCGCGGAAAGTTGTTCCCAAACTTCTCTAAGAGGACAATAAGACTGACGTGATATATCGGTTATACAAACACAAGTTACTGTCTTAACCTTTTTATTTACTTTCTTTACTTTTTAATGGCAGGGTATATTGCGAAATGTGACTTCTAAAATGCTGAGATATTTGCAAAACTCCGGACCGCAGGTGTCTGTGGTGTGGCACGAACGAGCTATTGTTCTTTCCGGGGAGTAACGCGTTCACCGCCACACCATGCGGGTCCTTCGTTTCGCCTCTCTCAGCTAGTTCTATTGATCAATTTGCCATCAGCAATCACCCGTCAACGTTAACTATAGTCTCAACTTAACTAGGTTCAATACCGATTTGGGCTTCCCAGATCAATCCCGTTGACGGGTGATTGCTGATGGCAAGTGATCGATAGAACTAGTTGAGAGACAGGCAATACGAAGGACCCGCATGGTGTGGTAGTGAACGCGTTACTCCCCGGAAAGGACAATAGCGCGTTCGTTCCCCACCGCAAACACCTGCGGTCCGGAGTTTTGCAAATATCTCAGCATTATAGAAGTTATTGTGTTGGTCAGGTATGCATTGAGTTACTTCCCTCAGTTATTGATCTGCGCCGAATATTTTATTATTCTATTCCACTACTGGGGGCGCGTGTGGCGCACTGGGTAAACGTACCACTGCGACACATACGTAGAATCGATCCCCGCGCCCATGGCCCACCAAGCCTTCCATCCATCTGGGGTCGACAAATTGGTACCAGACTTGCGTGAGATAATAGCAACACTGGCTTGATACATCGGTGGGCCACCACGAGTTATTGTAAAGGTCAGACATGCATTCATTCACCTCCAACGATACTTAATGAAGTCGAATTCACGGCGCATCCTTCAGGGATTGATCAACGTCGAGAGCTTTATCCTTTTATTACACTACTGAACCGAACGATGACGACTTCTTTTACAAGCGGATTAATTCCTTCTTGATGTCTATTCTTATTCAGTACAACGAACATTTTCACGCCAACAGTATGGGTCTGTATTTCGAAACCGACTTTCCTAGAGCTTCGGTATCACTAATCAATATGTATTCTTTGATGAGCTTACACGAGATTGATAATGATATTTATTTATTATAAATAATAATACTAATAAATAAATATCATTATCAACCTCGTGTAAGCTCATCAAAGAAAGAATACAGTATGGGTCTTTGTCGGGGAGCAGTTATGACTAGTTTTATCGAGCATACTTTCAGGGGAATAATGCTAGCAATACCTATCTAGTAAAAGATAGGTAAATGATAAAGCTTCTGGCGTTGTTCAATATACGCAGTGCATTTGACTTGATCAAGAATCATATATATGACTGAATGCATATCTGGCTTGTGAATGACCTTTGTTGTTCCAACGATCTTTCAACTCAGTTTTAGTATCCTCCCAGACAGGTATGCTGCCAATTTGCCTGCGGGAGGAGGGAACAGTTGGTGTGCCTGAGACAGGGGGTTGAGCCAGCAACGAATTCGGTGTGTATTGCCAGGACACCTCTCGCCATTGGGCTTTGCAGGCCTACCTGTTTTGTATAAACGTAAACAAGAATCGGCATTTTTTATATCAGCGGTCGATCAGCAAAGAGGTTTTATATCTCATGGCTTCAAAATCCTGTGCATCTTCTTGTCATGTATGTTAGTGAAGAACACTGAGTATGAACCCTTAGTGACTATGTTCCAATCGATATCAACTCTACCACCTATCCGATTGCTAGGCTTTAACGAAGCCATGAATTTCATATGTGATGTTCTTTGTGTTCGCGGACCATCAAAATCCACTTAGCAATTATCCTGTGCGGCAGAAATTAAAGCAGAAACTACTGGAGCTTATTCGAGTTAGTCGACCAGTGCAATGATCGATGGCACAGATGATGTGGGAATCATCTTGACTTGTGTCGATCACTGTTGTTCATTTGACTTGTGATCACTAATAACAGCGGTAACAAATACATTAACTGTATCCTTTAGGTACCTGGCTTTAATGACACTAATGACACAACTACTTACGAATGGGGCCTAAACGACGTGCAGAACATTTCGTTCGTGTTTCCAAACGAGAATGGACGCGGTGGAACATATGTGCGAGATTCTGTGAGTTTATAAATTCTGTTCAAGTGTTCCTAAAATTTTAGCTGGCACCTGCAATGAAAGTCATGACAGATCGATTTCAAATCCTAAGGTTTTCAGTGCCACTACTATTCTCGTCCGATAGAACGCTACAAAGAACTAAGGAGAATGCCACTAATGAAGGCCGTACAGAATGCGTGGAAGGACAGCGCTGAGAAGAAGAAATGCGAAAAATACCATTACAGGACAGATGTTCGTTCGGTCCTATTTATAGCGCTATTCTCAGTACCTCAATCGATAATTAATCGATTTTAGGTGATGCGTGAGACTATTGTAACTGACTGGAATCTGGTGTGCGACGATTACTTCATGAAAGGTCACGCACACTTGTTTTATTCATTCGGCTATCTGGTTGGATGTATAATCGGGGGCATGGCAAGTGACAAGTAAGTGAATTTGAGAATTTGATATTTACATAAGAAAGGTAAAGCTCTCGGCGTTGATTTATCACTGAGGAATGCTCCATGCATTCAACTTCATCAAACGTCGTTGGAGGTGACTGAATGCATATCCGGGCTTTACAATGTCTCGCGGTGGCCTGCCGATGTATCGAGCTGGTACTGCTATCCTCTCAGACATGTCTGGTACCAATTTGCTCATCCCGGAATGATGGAAGGTTTGGTGGGTCTGGGGCGCTGGAATCAATTCTACGTCTATTGCAAGGCGCCTCCGACCACTGCGCTACACGCGCCCTTTGATATTTATAATGTAGAGTTATAGGTATGTGTTTTGTCATAGCACTAAGTCCACATTGATGTCGAAATAACTATCTCGTCGTTTTAAAAACTGCGGTTAAGATTTTAATGAGTTATCGTCTTACCAGCGCTGTGAAGAAGTAATCATGTGCTTAATTGCGTAAAATCAGTGACTGTATTCATCTGTAATATTGAATATACTGTATTTCCCAGTGAAATAAATGAAGTTATCAAGTAGTGTTCGCTAAATCACTGTTTTTTTTACTTTTTATTTCTTTTTTGCAGAACATGTCTAGTTTGTAGGTTAGCTGAGTGCAAATTCCAACAAGTGACATATGTGTTTAGCTTTGGTCGCAAACCTACCGTCATTGGTTTTGGAATACTGTCGTCAATGTTCGGCGTCTTTCTACCGTACACCACCTACTATCCGATGTTTTTATTTATTCGATTCTGTAGTGCAATATGTAACGAAGCTGCCGATCTTGCTGCCTATACACTTTGTATGGAAATCACAGGTTAGAAACTTTTGCGTATAAGCGTTTTGCTATGTGAATGAGAAAAGTGGAGATATTAACCTGTTCTTCAATGTTGGACATTGCAAAGGTTTTAATTTTTAGTATAAGAGTGGGTTTAGATTGATTCCTTGAGATTGGTGAAAAGTGACGAACACTTAAGTTTTAGTTGGTCGTCTGAAATGCATAGACGATTGCGCACTTCCTTATTACCGTTATCGTTAAGTTATGGTCTACCTAGCTCTTACTTAGTGATTTTATTCTTTTAATTATTGGATTTAAGGTACACGGTATCGAGCAATGGTTGGAAGTATGTTACAAGTACCATGGGCAATGGGTTATGCGTTGCTAGCCCTTATAGCATATTTGGCTAAAAGCTGGAAAACTGTACAGGTGAGAGAGTTTTTCTTTTTCTCTTATATTTGCATTTTTTTTAAATAGAGCACTGATCTCATTCACCATTAACCCATTCCGACCCGTATGGAAACTACAGTGTTCATGTTCAGTTTAGTGGGGGTGGGCGTTAGTATTTCCTACCGCACTGTGTGTATTCAATCGGTAGCTAGTCCTAAGCAGATCGAAGTGGGAGGGTTGAGACCAGAAAAACCATTTTCATTATTTTCATTATTGTAGGCTTTTAATGATTTATAAAAACCTTTTCTGAGTTCATTAACAGGCAATTTTACTAACAGTTTATTGTTATTTCATTTTAGTCGCTGTGGCTATTGTATACAATGTTGATTATGAAAATACCCAAGTAAACTCAACATAAACCAAATGCCGCCAGCTATGCATTTGCAATATGGAGCATAGAAACATAAAGTGCACTCCCACTCCCTCGTATACTCGTCCATAAAATACTGTAGCATGCATATCATTCGTGCTTATAGAACGATAGATTCTCATCTACAGTCCTATCATTGTCATTCAAAATGCTCTAAGTCCTTTAGTTATTACGAAAAGATTTTTCGTTGTTGAAAAATCAGAAGGTCCCCAGCCGACAAAGAATTGCTCGTAGTCCGCTGGGCAAGTTACGAAAACGCCGCCGAAGCGTAGTGGGTTAGTAAAATTTGGAATTGGAATGGTGTCTTATTGCTAGCACTTGTTTACGCTTAATAGACTTCCCGAATGGAAATGTACATCTCAACCCCGTGCAGGAGAGCTGAGGAATTCCCTATCCACACACATATTAATAATAGCTAGCGTTTATTACGTTGAGAAAGTCATTCGTTGTTCATGTTTTTTCATGCGAGCGCCTGCAGTTATTTTACATCCTACTTTTAACATCATCTCATGGAGTCGTTACAAGTGTAAATCTGAATGAAAACTTTAAGAAAAAATTTCACGAAAAGATATACGTTAATTGTTTAAGGTGATTGCTGCCGGTCTTCATTTTGGTGCTGTGCTTTTGATTTGCTCGCTGCCGGAGTCGCCTCGATGGCTGATGGTGAAGGAGCGAGTTAACGAAGCGGAGGAAGTGATTCGCAAAGCATGCAGGTGAGATCTTCAGATTTCTTTACTGCTTTTAGAATGACTTGGAAGATTTTCATGTTTGTGCCAAAATCATTCTGTTTGGTTTCGACAGTGTGGAAAGAAAGCAATTAAGACGGAAACTTACATGATATGGCGATCGATATTTATTAAATGCATATTTGACCTATGCAATAACTCGCAGTCGCCTACCGATGTGTCGATTCAGTTCTGCTATCCTAGCAAACAATTGTGGTATCAGTTTACCGATCCGGGAGGGTTGGAAGGCTTACTGAACCTGGGGCGCTGGATCGATCCCATGTGAAACGTGCCTCTAATTCTTGCTCTACATGCGCCTCAATTACATGATGTAAATGTTAAATTCGGACTTTAAATTTTAGTTGAACAAAGAAAAAGAGAATGCAAATTTTCCTTGAATTTCCTACGAAATGTAGAAGTTTGATGTTTTCTTAGGTTTTTCCTGATGTAAAGAAGAGATTGTATAGCGATTGTAGCTTACCTTATTTTAGCATTAAAATATTAAAGCAATGGATTAATGAAATGTATACGTGTGGAGGACGATTATATCTAAGACAATGAATACAGTCATTTTTAAGAATTTTTATTCTGTATGCAAAGATCACTTCAGGACGCCACCTTTTCCGTTTAATCTCTGCCGAATCAACAAGGGGTCGCTCCCATCTGATCTCGAATTGGTCTGTCATCGTGAAAAACGACTAAACAAGAAAGTGAGCAGGTTTTGGTCGAACTGTAGCTTATTGCTAAAAAAACTTATAAATATTATTTTGACTTCTCTATTTGGATGGCTCCTCTTCACTGGTTGTGCAGACTCCGGCATAAGCATAAAGCATAGTTTAATTTCCCAAATTTATGGTAGTATCCTGTATCTGTAACCATGTTGTGGTCTCAGGGAAAAGTTGGTATGTCGGATTTGTTCAAAACACGAGAATTGCGATTCCGAACCATTACCATATGTATCGTATTCATGGCTACTGCTCTTGTGTACTACGGTCTTGTTATCGGTAAGTTTAACGTTTGGTTGGAATTGATTAAATCAATGATTTGTGGGGAAAATATTTAAAAAGTGGAAGAATAAGAACAGTGGGATATCAGTTTGGCAGATCATGCCAAGACTACAACTCTTAGTGTGCATATGCAATAAATCCCAGCGACAACAGATATCTGCAGTCGCTCTATTTCTTTCAGTTTCCGACTTAAACAACATTTTGCTTTTTCGTTCTCGTTCTTGCAACCGAATCAGTTTCATGTTTATTCTTCAGCGTTGTCGGATCAGTCAGCACCAGGTCGAGTGCTGTTCACGGGGAACTTCTTTCTTAATAACGCTGTTGCTGGCGCCATTGAGATTCCAACGCTGTTCTGCTGTGTGTGGTTAATGAAGTTCGGCCGAAAGAAGTGTGTCTTCGTGCTTACAGCGCTATTAGTAGAACATAATTATCAGTTAGGTAATATTAGTTGGCAATTAAATTTTTTCCACAATTCAGAGCTCAGATGTTGACGCTCGTCTGCGGCGGTATCTCAATTATTGTCGCGATGTTGGCTGTGATCAGTGAGAATTATATGTTGGCTCTTTCATTCATGATGATTGGCAAGATTTGTATTCAGGTATTGTAGAAATTATTCGTTTTCGGCTACCTGAAGTAATTATTTAACACAATCAAGTATTTAAGGGTGCATTTAATATTCTCTACATATTTACATCTGAATTATATCCGACCATCATCAGGAACTCAGCTGTCGGGATGACTTCAATGGTAAGCCTTGTGAAATACGGTTTTGGTGGTCATTTCTGGGGAAATATGTTAAAGCAATAGTTCAGTAGCATTGACTTCAACTACTATACATTAGATTACTGCATGCCTAAGGAGAAATAATAAAGAGAAAGTGAAATTTCAGTGAACTTCAGACAATTCAGGAGTAATGTGAGCTCTAATCTAACGTTTTTATGTTCTAAATAGTTAACGAGAATGCTAGTTTGTCGGTGAGAAATATGTAAGCTGTGAACAATTCTTCTGGTTTTCCAAGGGAAAGCGTGTGGAACGAATTACGAGCTGATCGGTACTGTTTAACTTACTATTTTAGTTGTTTAGGTGGCAAGATTTGGTGCTGGAGTCTCGTCGTACATTGCACTGCTGTCGATCAACTCATTACCAATTACGCCTATGATTATTTTTGCCATATTCTCGTTGTTTGCTGGTATGCTAGTGAGTGTTTTGCCAGAGACAAGTGAGAAACCGTTGCCAGAAACTTTAGATGTATGAAAATTTTTCGTTTATCTCATTAAAATATTTTTGAGATCTATTATATTACGTCGTCATTTGACGAATATTAATATAGGATGCCGTGACTTTCCTTCGAACTGAACAGAAGGCCTGCTATGGTTGGGGCCTTTCCGGTTTGCATACGCGTAGTGTTTCACTTAATGAGCAACCACTGGCAACTGACGGAAACGCTGTGCCAATCATAGATAAGGATGCTGCTACCACTGAATACCAAGGGTGTGTTCCTTTTTCTTTTCCAATGGACGTTACGATATTAGTGTAATAGCATTTATGCTTTTATTTGCAGTCGGCGACGTTATCCAGCAGGAAATCGACTTGTGGTATCGCCATGCGCCCAACTCAGCTTGCCGAGAAACGTGAGAGTTTTGCGTTTATGAGTCTTTTGCGGTGAAAAGGTTACCATATATAACAGAATCCAAAGTTCCCAGGATCGACTTTCTATTAACCTCGGCACTGGAATATGAATGCGTCGTTTTCTTGTTCAGCAATCGCGAGGTTTCTAAACAGCATACATTTACTTCCATAGAGAAACACAATAGAATACAACACTAGCTGACGTTTCGGCAGTATTGTCTTCTTCAGAGCCTGGAGGGGTATACTGATATACAATCTACTAGACCAAGCGCTTCAATAACACTTACAAAAAGACGAAAAACCTTCTTACACCATCTTGCAGGCAGATCGCCGTCAGTGTTGTAAACACGATTTCGGAAAAGTAAAATGTTGGACAATTCACTTCGTATTTGATCTCTCAATTCTGGTGAATTTTAGGGAAGTCGTAATGACTCAATTTTACAAGATTTGGCGGACTTGTCGATTCCAGATCGTCTTCCGGAAGCGTTTGACGATCAATAAATTCTTGTTTTTCACGGATGAAATCATTCATTCTAGTATATTTCCTTGCTGTTATTCTAGCCACGCTTAATCGCTGTATGTGGTATCTTGGGCCACGTGTTTGTATAGCCTTATTGTCACATCTGTTTTAGAAGCCTTCTCAGTGACAACTTCGTTGACTGTACAAATGCCATAACCTTCGTATATCATTTTATTCGCTTAGTTGATTGCAAACACTTCGTCAACGTGATGACGTTTGCCGTTAGTGCTCGATCGTTACCGTTTGGGTCCGCTTTCGCGAGTTTTGCCTTACGGAAATACTCTGTATTTCCTCCTTTTTCTTCGTTTAGTGCACTGCTTACGAATGTTCGGGTTAATTTTCCCCGTGTCACTATGAATGTATGACCTCCTACGCCCTCAGCTTGCTAAATCAAGACCTCACTGAGACCTCACGGCTTTTGTTGGCAACGTTGTTGTTATTGTTTTATTCGTTTATTTTCTTTTTTTTCTGTTGTTATCGCGCGTCCTCTGCCTGCGGGTTACGGCCATTTTACATTTCTGTCTCAGAGTGCTCTTTTGTTGCTTTATCTTATTAATGTTGCCCACAGATTCAAGGCGCTGGCTTTCGCCTCTTTTGCTTGGAACACTTACAACCAAAATGGCGGGCGCATCTACAACAAAAATGAAGCGTTACACCGTAGTTTGTTTCACTTCGCGCAGGTCTGTTTGACTTTTATTGCTTTTCAAAATATCTTTTTCTCATATCGCTTCCTTGTGCATGTATTCTTTCGTGTTTTGTACAATCCATCTAGGTTAGACCTAGTCAATTTACTGATTTCTGTCTTTGCTCCTTACTTTGCCTTCGCGGATCCTGCGGCTGATCGCGTACCCATGTGACGTCATCACTTGACATCTTTACTGGTGCTATCATTAGACATTTGTCCTTATACTGTTATGTGTTTTTTTTAGGTTTAATATACAAACACTGTGACATTGCCTCTTCTTTGCTATTAGCTTGAAACTGTTCGAACTCTTCACACTACGAGGAATCGTATATAACGTTTACTTTGAATCATGCGTGTTTTTTTTACAGTATTGGTTCATTGCTAGTGTTTTAAATCCTTTTTTTCATTGTTACGATTATATGCTACACCGATGAGGTTTATTTGTCGTCAAATAAATGAATACCTACAGACCTCAGATTTCATGTTGCTTGTAGTTTGGGATGAAGAGTCAGCGTTCCATTATGTGCCAAATTCTTCGTGTCCATATCGACGTAGTCTTTTCGTGGCCGCGTCGTATAGAAACAAATAGTGAGGATGAATATCCATGTTGATTGAGACATCAGGTGGAGTTCAAATCATAGTGTTCACACCAAATGTCTATTCCTTTTCATTCTCCGGAAGGATCTACTTAAGAGTCCTTTTATTATCGAGATTGTATGAACAGGAAATGAAGCTATTCACGAACGTGCTGGACATCTCTTAATCAGAGACCTTTGGATGCAACAATTATGATGAGTTCAGTTGCCGTCACTCTGGAAGCTCACGGGATTAATGTGCTCAAACAGAATAGTTGGGGTGTTGCTGATGCTGTTGTATCAACTGCTCTCATTAGACTTTCCTGTTCTTTGTTATTAGAGCTCACGTCGTATTATTTTCTCCCAGGTAGTCAGTACTACTCGCTGGACTACTGCGCGTTTGTCCTTTCAGGCATGTTTAAGGGACGGATTTGTTTTGAAACATGGAATTACATTGTACAGCGCGTTTTTTCAAAGTTGGGATCTCATTTTTTTTATGAGATAAAAATATTTCCTAATGGGATGAATTGAATTGAACAGGAGCACTTCTCACTTGTCGAATTTCTCATGCAATGGTGTTGTAAGAGGCTTCATTCTACTATGACCAGAGGCACGCTGCTGATTTACTAGTGAGGATTTTCATGGGCTTACGTCTATCCTCCCATTCTGCACTGTGCACTAGATATCGGTGAACACCACCATCAGGAACAGAACACCAGTGAGCACCTGTTTTCCTGATGTTCTCGTTTAGTTGTGCTGAAATGTTCGCTGTACTTCGTAGTACTGTGGGCGTGACACATGCAGTGACAACCAGTGAGTAGGCATCTTTGGACAGCATAAGAGGAGCTTTGCGTCTTCACTACGATGTCGGCATAACATGACAGGCGTAGGACCGCTTCGTACCTCGGTTGGTGTCGAACTAAATCCCTTCAACTTTTTAGTTCAACATCAGAGCAGCCTACTGACATTCATTTCTTGCCTTTGGACATCAATGATTTACCAGTACAGATCAACCTAAGCGAACAACACAATCAGACTTCGGCTAGTAATTTCAGGGGGTTCAGTCACATCAGAGAACTGCAAATTTCCGATAAGGTATAACCTTATTTTACGCTTAAATTTGCAAATTTGTACATAACATGGTCGTGAGCTATTTTGGCTTACATCGGTTTTGTTTAGAATTACTGTATATAGCAACTATCCCCGGAATACAACCACAATGTTGCTGAGATATTTGCAAAACTCTGGACCGCAGGTGTCTATGGTGGGGAACGAACGCGCTATTGTTCTTTCCGGGGAGTAACGCGTTCACCACCACACTATGCGGGTCCTTTGTTTCGCCTGTCTCTCAGCTATTGTGGTTATATTTCGCTTAGTACCCTGCCGCGAAATTATAGTAGGCAGAAAATAAAAAGCTATAACATTATCCCCGGAATAGTTACAATTTCTTTCTATTACTGCATATTTCTGTAGTAAGGATCAGATCTACTGTTTCTCAAGTTGCCTGGCAAATGTCGTAGTACGTTTGATACGTATTTTGATCCCATCCTAAGGAACTTCGTATAGAGAATTCCTCTATCAAAATTCTCTACCTACCTAGCAGAGATTCAATGGGTCGATGGAGATGGCCTTCTGCCACAACACCACTAGACACAGCATCACGTGGTCACACCACCTGGCATGCTGCTGAGTACGTCTCATTTCTTGGGGAATGGACCCCGCGACCCGGGCCTTGACCCTCGCTTGGACGTAGCCACGCCTAAACGGGCACCGCCTCTTTTTTGGGACTTGGGAGGTGCTTTTTGGGAGTCTTACGTTCGACTTGATTGCCTGATTTTTACGCCAATATTCTTTTCATCGTTATTCCTGTTGTATTGGTTTTTTGCCTTTATGTATATAAAGATTTAATCCCAAGTTTGAGTGTCAAGAGCTGTTGTCCTGCGTCAACTACGAAAAGTCCTGCGTGGCGTCCTATCACGAAGTCGAGCATTCTGTTTAGAGCTAGTGGTTATTCGGTGTCGATAACCAACTCGTAGGCCTATATTCCGTTAGCAACTGCGATACTGTATTCACATCCTCCCTCTCCTTTGAACGGTTCACACATTTGGTAGAGTTCATATATACTGAATTTTGGATCAGTAGTTTCTTCCTGTAATGAAGCGCTAGTTATCTTCATTGCAAAGAATATTAAAGGAATACCTAAACTATTTCTAATATTCGCGTAATTAGAGCACGGAAAAAGCAATGGTAGATAATGATAACGATCACCAAGAGCACGTTGCTGGTTTGAGCCCATACCGACCTCACCCGTCCACTCATCACTCCGGGGCCGGCAAATTGGTACTCTGGTCGTCCGGAAAAGGTTTATTCTCTGCAACCCAAGTGGGAGTGCTCTAGCACGGCTATTCTAGAATTCCACGGGGAATCGAATTTAACGATATTCATGACAAAAGGAAAATCTTCAATCAACAGCCAAACCCACACGCAAAAAGTTTGAAGATTCCCTGGATGAAGGCTGCGAGAAACGAATGAATGCAAAAAGTGTTAGGATGGGCACGGCAGTTGTGAGAGGCGGGTCGTGTAAATTAAAATTTCCAAAAACTTATATACAGAGAGCTGTAAATTAAACGGCGGTGACCAATACATCAAATAAGAAGCTAAAACCATGAAGCTCTAGACATTGACCAATCCCTGAGGGTTGCACCATGCATTCGACTCCATTAAGCATTGTTTGAGGTGACTGAATGTATATCTGGCCTTTACAATGACTCGCAGTGGCCTACCGATATATCGAGCCAGTGTCGCTACCCTCCTAGGCAAGTCTGGTACCAAGTTGCCGACCTCGTAAGATGGAAGGCTTGGTGGGCCATGGGTGCTGGGATCGATTCCACGTGCATGCTGGAGGGCGCCTCCGACCACTGAGCCACATGCACCCTATACATAAAATAGGTACAGAAAATGCATCGCTCAGTTGAGATATAGCTCAACTCCTTAGCTCACTTTTACATATTCGACACCATTGTGAGAAATGACACAATTAAAACGTTTATATGGATTTTTTATGGATGAGTGGTGAAAGGAATAGTGCTGTAGAACTTTCCTCCCACTTATACACTTGCCAACACAAGAATTTCCAAATCAGTGCAGTGTCTTAATCATAAAAAGTTGTTTATACAAATTCGCCGTCTGTTTTTATTGAAAATTTTAATTTCGGAGACTAGCAAGACAGTTGGAATATAATGAATGTGGAATATCCTACTTAGAATAGGAAGCATATCGGCGACATTCGATGTTCTTTTCAATACTCGAGACCTTGGCTAATTAACACCGACACGTTTTAGGAATGGTCCGTTTTCCAAGCAAGCGAAACGTCCATAGTATGAGGAGACCTTAAAGACATTTAATTATTTAGTTACTTAGTGTTTCAGTTTTCCCATATAATCTCTAAACACATAATCTAAGTACCTGGAAGTTATAGCAGCATGGCGTTCTTGGATAACGGCAAATCTCCACATTACAGAACTCTATTGTTGTTGAGTCACTGCAATATGTTAATCGGTTTTGATGGAAATTCTAGAAGAAAGCTGTGGAATGTTACAGTAGCCAACCCTGAACAAGTACACTGTGGGAATTTGGTCAAACAAATTCTCGTGCGTCTACGAACGCCACACGATCCGCATTCATCTGAGCATGTCGACCATTCAGACCAGGTCACCCAAGCCGAATCACTCTGATATTCTCGTTAAACGTTTGGTTTTGATCTCACATAAGCAACAAACTAATGCACTTAACCAGATGTAGAAAGACATGTCAACAAATCAACAATCATGAGAATATGTCAACAACACCCACTTTCATTTTCGTTCCCATATTTTCTGACTGATCAGTGAAAAAGTGGATTCAGAAAATGGTCTACCTATCCTACTTTATTAGGATCATTATAAAGCTAAGAAATAATAAAGCTCTCGGCGTTGATCAATGATGCGCTGTGCATTCGACTTCATTAAGTATCGTTTGGAGGTGATTGTATGCATATCTGGCCTTTACAATGACTCGCGGTGGCCTACCGATGTATCGAGCCAGTGCTGCTAGTACCAATTTGCGGACCACGAAGGGATGGAAAGCTTGGTGGGCTATTGGCGCAGAGATCGATTTCACGTGTGTGTTGCAACGCGCTTCCGACCACTGCGCCACACGAGCCTTTATTGGGATCAGTATAGTGGAAATAATGTACATGCATGGCTACAGATTAATGAGTGTCTTTGTGTAAAAATATACCACTACATATCCTGCAGTTCGAGTTCTGCATCAATGTTTGCGTTTCAACGGTCGGGAAACCACGCAAGAGACAACTTGTGGTCGTTCGTTTAGAAAGCAGCAGTAACCATCAAAATCATATTGATTTCACAACACAGCCCGACGTACTACAATTTAATATCGCGAGTAGACCAGGAAGCCCGACATGAAGATCGAAATAAGTTCTGTAGGAGAAAATGCCCTCGATGGTTTACCGCCTGATTCTTCTAAACTGATGTCGTTGGGTGTAAAACTGTGATATACTGCAACTTGGTTCAAACCATCGAAAAGGTCGCTAATGTTAAGAAGGAGACATTTCCATTAGAAAGCTTGATTAGGAACAAACTTGTTTTCCCTGAAAGCCAAGTGAGCTTACTGTTGCTACTCTTTGCTAAAAATAGGACAAAATAAAGGGGTTCATACAAAGATTGTTCAGGAATTCTGTCGTGTGAGCAGAATCTGCTAAGCAGCTCTGGTGAGGTTTTAAGCTAAAAGAACTAAACACATTACTGAAAATCATATTTGGGAGTCAGCCTATTATACCATCATAACCGGCCCATCGAAAAATGGCAGGATCTGGTACCGTTCTGTAGGAAACCTAGTCGGTAAACAGCATCAGTAACTATTGCGAAAACCTGCGAACACCTAGTACGACTCTTTTAAGATTTTACGGATAATCATTCTCAATTAGCATTCAATATTCGGTTATAAAAAATACTATAGGTTCTTAATTTGCAGCAGAGACCATGTGAAATTAACCAGCTCCAATGGATGACCAGTGAATCGTAATAAAAAGAATGGAAGACATGCAACGTTTAGAACATGTGTGAATGGATTACCTAAGTATCTTAGCAGGTATTTAACTTATGTAATTTGTGACGAAACGGGTAATGCTCTCGGCAGTGATCAACCCGTTAAGGATGCTTCATGCATTCGACTTTATTAGGCATCGTTAGAGGTGAATAAATGTATCTATATCTGGCACTTAAAATGAGTTGCGGTGGCCTGCAAGTGTACCGAGCCAGTGCTGCTGTTCTCCCAGCCGAGTCGGGTACCAATTTGCCGACCACGAAGGAATGGAAGGGTCGGTGAGCCTTGGGCGCGGAGATCGACGAATCCATGTGTATTGCATGACGCCTTCCACCACTGCTCCACATGCGCCCTTGGTGGTGATGATTGAGTAATATTAGACTACCATAGACCCGAGGAATGTTTATCATATGAAGGAGTACTCTCAGCTTAATACGTAAGCCCTCCATCGGGGGTGGAAATTGACCCAACTGGTTCCTAGACACAAGTTTCATCGTGAATTGTGAGATTTTAGAATGTGCTATGGTATAACGTATGCTGATGATCTTCCAGCAGAATATAAACGATCTCCATACAAAAAGAGACTAGGCAATAAAACAGTTATAATAATATTTTAAAATGCGAATGAACAGTACTGGACGACATATCCCTTCGGCGGAGGGCGGAAGTGGTGGAAGCGCAATTGGACTCTTTAGGATGACCGCCTGAAAGGGAATTATTAAAGTATAGGGTGAATTGAATAATATGTTTTGAGTAATGGAGCAATATGTTTTCCATCTGGGTTTTTTATGGGAAAATTTGTATTTTTGCATGCCATAATTACGTGTTTTTCTAAATCCGAAGAATTGAATGGCTAAGATGCCCTTCTAGACATTTGCTCTAGCTCACCAGGGTCAATTATTGTTTTTAATAAACTTTAACATTCTATTATCTGTTCTTGCGGAATTTTAGCAAACATTACCTTAGGATGTTCGATAGCCGATAATGTGTCATTTTGGGAAAACGCCAGTAACGGAAAGGCGACAGCCACAAGAATCACCGAATAACAAGCCATCTTGGAAAAAGACCAGTTTCATAAATTTATCAGTAAATCGAAGTTAAAGCATGTAATGGAGATTTGTACACTATATCTAGTATATGGTATTACAAGGGTGCATGTAGCTCAATGGCTAGACGCATCCTATAATAGACACGTGATCTTTCGACTAACGTACTGGGTAAACAAGGCTGCTATCCCTTTGTGATTGACAAATCGGTCCTGGACTTGTTTGGAAGAATAAAAAAGCAATGATGGAAATCGAGTTCCAAACAAATCCCTAATCTTTCATGCCACTAAATGTTGCATACTTAGACAATTCATACTAGATAACCAGCCTTTTTAACCTGCAAAATTACATAATTCTTCCAAAAAATTACAAGCGGACTCGGAACGATGTGCTCTTGAACTCGGGTATTCATGCAAATCATCTACGAAACAATGAGGCTTTCAGTAAAATAACTACTATCGAGAAACCACTCCATCACCAATGTTTTTCTTTATTCTGCAGGCGTCTATTTCAGACGCTACAAACATTGTAAAACGATAAGAGTCAATTAATTCGCATAAATCATTCTACGGATGGTATTGGAAGTCGCATATGAATTTCAGCAGATCAAAGTACGAGCCCTTTTTCGGTGCTAAGCAGATACCGTTTTTAAAACATTTTTTTAATAAGGGAAATTATAACCAATTAACTAGTTATGACGACTGTGACGATCCTGTCATGCGTACAGCATCAGCTGCTACCGTTTCACATAAGCCTGGGATTTCCAAATATTGTTCAGTTTCGGAGAAGGAAAGGCGAAACGAAGGACTCCACATGGTGTGGTGGTGAGCACGTTAGCCCACGGAAAGGGTAATATCCTGCTCGGTCCTCACCACTGTCACCAGCAGTCCGGTGTTTTGCAAATATCTCATCATCATTATAGTTATACTGTTCAGTTCATCGGCAATTTTTTTTTACCAAAAGAATGATGTTACAGAGACAAATGGCCCATCTTAAAATATAATAAGCAGCGTAGAAATATTGCACAATGGACTGTTAAAAAAATCACCGGCATGCCGTATGAAGGATAAAATCATTACCTCGCCTTGTTTTCCATGCTAGTACCAGTCAGTAGAATGTATCAGGCGTTTTATTCCTTTATCATCGAATGCCTTAGAAACCTGCCCAACAGTTTATCGCCTCAACGTGGCTAGGAGGTGTTCCTGGCTATCGGACTGCTATGTACAGCAGGGCGATTCGTCCCCCAGCAGGGTCTCCCGAGTTGAGGAGTCCGGCGTTTCCATCAGGAAGCCTAGCTAGGAGTAAACCAATACCAGGTTCTGCCACCGTCATGGTATCAAAGTCGTATGGTGGCAAATCTCCCTCTGATCCACAAGGGCTGCGACTGCCTGTGGTGGTGAATACATGGGGCAGACTTTGGGCAGGTTGACCTCGGCATTCCAGGGAACCACAATAGCTTAACCAGCAAATCTCCGATAAATGGTGATTGTGCTGGACAGACACAACCAATGAGGACGTGCCGTTCAAGTGTCAAGTGCCTTATAAGCTCTATAGTCGACACCCTTTTCGTTGCATGCCAATAAATACCACTTCTAATGGAGGGCAAGCAGCTTACGGTATTGTCTCACCATGAAGTGCAATTGTATACATTTTTCCATTAAACGACCGATCTTCAGGAAGAATCGTTGACCTTCCAGCAAAGTTCTCATTTCACCGGCTTCTAATTTAGTGAGTGCGCGAGATTTTCGATAGATAACGAACGAAGGACTTCCGAACTAGTCGTCTCAGACAGTAATGTGGCTGTCGTGTATCGGAAGAACAACTTCTGCCTCACAACCATGGTGGTCTAAGATGGTAATTCTTGGCACTAGGTTGTTCTTATATTGCCTAATGCTTTGTAGACCAATTAAACTCAGTGATAATGGAACCTATCAACAAACAGTGCAAGCAGAAGATTGGAGAACATAAAGGCTCTAAAGGAGTGGCAAGACAACGACGAACAGGAGTAGAAACGTGGTACAGAAGCAAATTTAACAATACGTAATCACTCACTGATTTGGCCGTAGGTCACAAACATAAGCAAATGATATTTGCCGCTATAAATTAGAAAGACCAGCGAAAATAGTGTGAAATACTGCAAATAACTGCAAATAATATCATAGGCATTGTTTACTATTAGTACTCGAATAGTGGTTAATATATTTAAATGCAGGAAATTTTGCCATAAACGTTCTCCATGGGATGGATCTCGATCTCTAGGGACAAGAGGCCACGTGGTCCACTCTCAGGTGAAGGTTGAGGACAACTGGCGACCTTGTACTAACGCTGAGACAGGTTATTTAGAGGATGCACCTACTGTCTCTATTATGTCGAATTGCCTTTTCGCCGCACCACCAACCATTTTCTTATTCTATGTATCATTGTCTCAAAAATCTACGCGACATAGGAGCTTCGTTCCTATTGCGCAAGATTCACGTGCTCATAGAAAAAGTGGAAGGCTGCATCGTTTAAAAAACTAAAATCACGATAGATCTTTCCTTTAACAAGCTGCTGAAAAGCTACGGATATCAGCAGCACTGATGAAAGATAAAGTCTTACTCAACATTGTGACGACAGTGCTTACATAGCTGGTAGCTGGAATTTGCGAAGAAACATCTGTCTAGAGTCCAACCACCAGTGGGTAGCTGAATGAACACTGTAGCAGACAAATTACGACCGTATCAATAAACCGTTAAGGAACTGAAAGAAAACATTTCGTGAAATTCCTTCAGCGGATAACGATTCGGACTGAATAGTTCCCCCTTGTAAAGACCACATTTTATGTGATCTCATTTGTTCAGTGAACATGAAGAATGACCTAAAGGAGAAACTATACATGAGACGAAAGTAATAATTTCTTCCTAGAAATGCAAAAGCGCATTAATCCAAAAATCACGACTTCTTAAGATTTTTTGCCATGAAGTTCACACTATTGGCTTACAACCACAATGATGCTGAGATATTCGCAAAACTCCTAACTGCAGTTATTCGCGGTGGCGATTGAACACGCTATTACATTTTTCGAGCAGCTAGAGAAAGAGCGTCGCATCAACCGAGCGGTGTTCGTCTGAAGAAGAACGTCCGTCTCGGTACGACGATCAAGACGCCACATCGAGAGACGAACAACTGCAGAGCATCGACTCGTATCATCGACTCTGATAAAAATGAAGATCTCGAAACGTTAGACAAATAAAGGTTGCTCATCAACCTTGTGTACGCTTATCAATAGGAATACTATTGCCTTAATTTCACACAGCGTCAAAGTAATGACCACTGGTTCGAACTTCACCAAAAATCACTGATCAACTGATGGAATTACTTCTATATGATGATCGAAACACACTTCAAATTTCGGGAAAAAGGTTGTACCATAGATGAAACAATTTTTTAAGAAAAGAGTCGACAACGGATGAACGTGAAAGACATACGACAATGACATTTAGCGGACGCACATGCTTTCAAAGAAGGCCACGTATAAGATGACTATATTGGTCTCCCTGTTTAATAAGTCATTTGCATGAGAGTGAGAGGGCCAACAAAGCTGAAAAGCCTAGAAAACACTAGTTACTGCACTCGAAATATTCACCAAGACTAAAGGATGCGTGTGAACAATATCAAAGGCCACTGTGCTGGATCTGAGAAAAGCCACACCCTTCAAGTACCTAAATGATAATTTATGGAACTTCTGTGAGCATTACCTCTGCGAAATAATGAGAAGTACCTTCAAGTGCACGGAACCCGACGCACTCACAGCAGACAATCATTTACTTGATGTGTTCGTTGCCTCCTGCTCTCCCGCTTGTTCGACCTTGGTTAGCAGTACTCACGCGTCAAGCAAAGAGAAATTCGAGCAAACACCAGTGCATTTCATTTGTTCCTCTGAAGTATGGAAGACACGGTGTGCTCTGTTCGCTCAAGAGATGCTAAAAGGATCACACTAAACTAATGCTGTCTTCCCAGTGTTTTCGGACAGCACGCAACTGTTGGCTTCACGCATGGTACTGCCATAGCTCTTGGACGAAAATGTTCAACACTTATCCACTTCAGTGACCTTAATGTGAGGTGTAGCGCCGATCGACATAGCAGTGCGACAGCCATGAGGAGACCCAGATAGGATAATGTTGCAAATAATTAGGAGCTCGTCTATGTAGGAAATTAACAATGCGTAAATCTTATTGTATAGAACAAACATCTACAGTTTCAGCTCACTATTTCACTACACCACAGATTTTCTGAATCCAACCTCGGTAAGCTGTTTTTCTCCGGAATCCTGGAATAACTAAAACGTTCCCAGGTTTTCACAACAGCAAGTCACCTGTCATTGTGGACCGCAAATTTCTCGCATCAATCTGGCGTCAATGTGCCAGTTCAGAACTGATGGAAGGCATAGCTGGATCGATGTGATATCAAATCAGAGAACACGGTTGTAATACACGATATCTCTTACCACTGCGTTTCTTCTCGTCTATTCTCACCAACTACTGGAAAATCTCTTTAGAAATTCCGCCAAATTTATGATCGCATATTTCCAAACAAGTCTCTGGTGTATGAGTTGGTAGAACACGTGTGCTGAAGGAGAAACGTGAAGAAACTTTTCGAGTTTTTCTGGTTGTACTAATGGATTGTTTAACAACGTCTTTTTAGGTTTTTCTTTGCGAAAGGTCTGCTGCTAAGTTGTAATTTCAATCGCGTTCTTTTCTGATATACAAAAAGAAAAAAGTGTCCATAGGAAATATCCTATGTGTACACCGCACTCTTTTAGTACAGGTTTGAACGAGTGTTTGCAAGCCACTGAAGTTTGACACAGTTCCACTTCTAACAGTAATCGTTGGCATCCAGGAAGTAATCTCATTCTCCTAACTAGTTGAACCATAAGTCTTCTCGCTGTAAAGCTCAACGCTAAGGAACTTCTCTTTTGAATCGATGAAGTGTTCCGATTAGCTCCCTTTGGAATACAGTCGCGTACACATTTCTTTCCTCCTAAGTAAGACGTATTACATTTCCAAATCACGACTCATGCTGAGCAACAATGATCAGCAACGTCACTGATAATTGACAGTTCTCAAAGCCTTTCATTTATGTGGCACGGCAAACTCCTAAAGATGCTCTCCTATATACCTAAGGCTTCAATGAGCACTGCTATCGCAAGAAAAGCCTTTCGCTCTAACGAAAGGATTGGAGTTTTTGAGTGATCGCTGCTATCATCGCTTGTATAGTATCTATAATGTAATATGTAGTTTTATTGCACATAATACCATAATACAGGAGATTCTCCTCAAAATGATAAACACAATTCAGCGCTTCTTCATTACCACTAGCGTAAATGTAAATCAGGTTAAACTAGAGAGACATCCTTTTTAATCACAGATCTGTCTATCAAAAAAAAAAACCATTTTCTTAGGCTGTTAAACTACGTCAAATCGAATTGTTCCACGCAAAGTATATTGCTTCATAGAGGATACACATGGTTCATTTTCTGATGTTGAATTAGTCACTTCCATATAGTCGGCAACAACTAAGACACTAAAAGCGAACACAACTTTACCTATTACCACCTGACCCTGAAGGGAATGGTGGGCATGGTTTTTCTACGAAGACACGTTGAACTAAACAATATGCACAGCATGAGTGGGGTCTCACTTCACTGCACTACACGTCCTTCACCAAGGTCGCACTATTGTTTACTTATAAGTAAAACTAAACTATAAGAATCTCTGAACGCAGAACATTAGCATTACTGTTACAATAAACGGTTGTTCCAAAAAAGAACATAGCATAAAACTACAGTGTCTTTTTATGTACACATGAAATCATAACAAATACCGTAAAAAACAAATCGAAGACGAGAAAATAAATTACTAGGAGGAACACCAAGAATCCAGCGCTGGTAGTATGAGCGGCTATATTCTCACTGAAATGAAACACTAAATGTTCAATAAAATACCGTTGCACAAACGTATGTAATTAACAGTTGGTTAAAGAAAACTAGAACTTTATAGCTGTTCGTGACCTCAAATCAATGTGCCCCCACGCTCTTCAAATTTAAGCCCAATAACTCAGTTCAAGTAACGTCCATAAAAATAGCAACATTCGCTCACCAAATCTCGCTCGGGCATGATATAAGATATATCGTCCCATGGGTGACGATACAATCCCTGTTTCAAACGACGTTGGTCCAGATAGTGGCCTAAATCACAGTAGAAAAAACTAGCAGATACTAACTGATACAAGTATATTTCGCTTTTCGAGATAGAGGTAAGTCTCGGAAAGAAAAGCGAATCATGAACTCCAAAAATCTAGAATTTTATTCTAATGATGACGTAAGGAAATATGAATCCTGTTTGCAAATATGTGTTGATTCTAAAAGCTGCTTTGATAGCAAAAGTGCACATCGAAATGAAATGCGTTCTTAAATTCAAAACCAAGGCTTTTTCCTGTCAAAATCCACGTCATTTTCCTCAAACATCAAAAATTTTCTGTCTTTAACCAAAACACACGTCTAAAATGGAATGAGAAAACGTGACCTTGGAAAAGGAAAAGTATATCGAATAATACATGACATGTTGACCAACTAAGAAACGTAAAAAATATTAAAAACTGTATGTGACCTACACGAAATTTGATGGAAACGCTCTTACAATTTATTTAGTTGCTCAGCATAAAAACTAAATTTCTTTAAGGAGATTTTCAGCTCTCTCTCTCTCTCTCTCTCTCTTAATTTGCTTCAGCTATAATTCTTCAATTTCAACAAAAATCATTGCCTTCCTGCAATTTTTATTCTTCGAAGCGGCTAATGGAGCAGTTCACAAAAGGATCGTAAAATTGAATAGACTAATATAGGATACAACCACAAGGTTGTTGAGATATGAGCAAAACTCTAAACATCAGTTGGGCTCAGAACCCGCGATTCCTCTAACCGGGGGCTCCCGTCCTACCCACCACACCAACCAAGGCCCTTGCTTTGCCTTTCTCACCCACTTTTTTCATTTACTTCACATACAGAGGACGAACTGATACTGAACCCAGTTTGGTTCAAAGTCCAAATGAGGTTGCTACTTTTGCTCATATCTTATCATCCTTGTTGTCGCATTTCACACAATATCCTGCTCTGCCATGAAAGAACAATAGGCAGTATATAAAAGTTCAAAATTGCAATAAAGGATAGATACCGGGCAAATCTCGAGCATTGAAACGGTATGTGGAACGCTTATCAATGAAAAATAATATTTATCAGGAAACGCCTCGCTAATTTTAATAACATGCATAAGTACTTTCCCATAATACCCAAATGACGGTGAGATAAAACCAGCATGACTCACCGATAAACCCAAGACTACGTCCGAGAACGAACAATCCGTTAAGGGCGCCAATTTCTATCGTCTCTTGTGCCTCAGACGGTGTGAACATTCCAGAATGACGTAGAATATCAACAAAAATCACTCCAATTGCTCCGTCAACGTTCAGTATAAGATTCGGCTTCTGAAAACACTTTCTTTAATGTTTAACGTTTTGTTTTCTGCCTTCTATAATTTTAATGGCAGGTTACTAAGCGAAATACAACCACGACGTTGCTGAGATATTTGCAAAACTCTGGACCGAAGGTGTCTATGGTGGGGAACGAACGCGCTATTGTCCTTTCCGGGGAGTAACGCGTTCACCACCACACCATGCGGGTCCTTCGTTTCGCCTGTCTCTCAGCTATTTCTTCACTTTCTTTAATATTTCTTTGCATTTAAACACTTTTTACACCTTTCTGGGACAGTTTCCGCACACTTCTTGAACTAGAACGTGAAACTGCAATTACAAAGAAAACGGATCAGTGAATAAGATAAAGATGTCCAAATAGTCAGATGTCGGAGATTGCTGTATATATCAAATTCTGCTCCACCTTTTCTTGTGCCTCTTCTCAAAGGTGACTACTTAAGTGATTTTTAACTTTAGGCCAGAAGCGCGTTGAAGGTAGAGGAACGACAAAAATACTTTGAAGAATAAAGCCGAGAAATATTCTTCGGTTTTCCAGTCTATAAAATCTTAAAAAGAATGATGGAGACCTATCAACAGTGTTTGAACTCACTTTCGCCGTGGTAATCTTCTCCACCTGAAGGGCATACTCAAGCAATGGAGTTTCCTGTTTGAACTGGTTTCGATCCATTGTGAATTTTTTAAGGATTTCCACTCGTTTGTCAGGATTATTTATCTGAAAAGAAAGAAAAAGTCGAGCACAACCACTCCTGCGGATCGTAACCTAAACAGAAGGACAGCTCAAATTGGTGTACTCTCTATGTATTCGCATAGTTTTCTTTCGGTTTCCGCTGTTAAACTATTGCTAATCTGTGAGGCTAAGAAAAAATGTACAAGTTTCACCGGCAATGACATACCGATTTGACACGATGTCCGATTCCCATAATATGCATTCCCTGTTTACGCATTTCGTTCACAAACTGCATTGGGCTCCACCCTTTATCAACTGCTTCAGAAAACTGACGAGCAGCACCATCCAAAGCACCTCCGAAACGGTCACCCTGAACAAATCCACGCAATCTTTTCGATTGGAATGGACACCTTTCTTCCCGTTTCCATGTTTCCGTTTTCTTTTTTTTTTTTTTTTGGTTACCTACCAATTCCGATGCTGAACGCAGTCGTTCCCAGCAATAAAAAAAACAAAATTTTAGAAGTGCAATAATCTTCGAGAAAGATTTCCAATTCACAAAAACGTGAGTATATCGCCAACGATGCATACTAGATAATAGAAGCTATGTTTTAGGATTTCTTCTTAATTTTTGCTTTTGTAAAAACATTTCTACCATAGTAATCAAGCAATTTGCAGATGTTTAATGATGAATACTTACAATTGTAAGCAATCCTGAGACTAACGACGATATCAGATCTTTACCAGCCCTCGCGCAGACGATCGTATTATGAGCGCCGGACACAGCTGGTCCATGATCTGCTGTCAACATCAAGCAAATCTCAATGAATTTGTTTGCATAAGCAGGAAGGCGTTTCTAAAAGAACGAAGCAGATTCAATGCATGCTCTTCTCGAAGTTTCGGTCACAAAATACGATAAAGCAGAAGAATCATTGCAACGGCTTCACCGAAACCAAAATTATGATTGGCTGAATGAAGTTAAGACTCACAATTATAAATTTTAACCACATACCACCACCCATAGGAGTTAGAGCCAATCCATATTCTTCAATAGGCAATAACTTCTTTGTAAAAATTTTCAATAAAGTAACACCTCATTGATTATCATTCCTCTTTCTTCTCATATTAACAGGGTCTCGTGGACTTGACAAGGATTAAGTAGGAATAACTATTGGTTTAATAAAAAAAAAAGCAGAAAGATAGAGAAAAGAAACGGGAAGAGAAAATAAGCAGTTAAAAACTCACTTGAAACCATAACAGTCCAAGCACACCGCCCACACCAATATCTTGCTCGAGTACCTTCGTGATAGGAACTCCAGCGTAATTAAGTTCTTCACCTCGTTCGTCACAAATCGACGTCATGAACGATGCTGGCTTGCGAATCAGGCCAAGTTCCTAAAATTGTAAAAACAAACAATATTAACGTAGGCAACAACGGTTATAGTTTAGTAGTGAAAAGACGGACAGCAACACCGACAGTATGAGAATAAGGAAAAATTGGCTCGTATACAAAGGCAAAATACTCACGTATATAGATGACTTCTGATTTAAAAGTCTAGCTGAAATAAGTCTTGCGGGAGTTCACCATGAACACCACATACCCTTATCTTGTTCTCATTTGTGAGACAATAGCTCCTTTAATTGAACACTGTCATTGTTAAAATTCTAGGTTCATTTACCCTTGCCCATGCATAGTCCATTGGCACGGCCGGTGGAGGAACCTCTGCTCGTAGCTGCACAATGCCTTTCTCGACTAGATCAGAGAACGTCTCCCTCACCGTCCTTCCTTAAAACCCAGCCATTTGATGTAACTGGCTAATAAAAATTACAGCAGTACTCGTAAAACATAGCCAAACCTTCTAACATAAAATAACTAAGTTGTAATTAAAAACTGTGAACAACCTAGGTCATCAAATGAGTGTGGTACCCGTGCGCCAGCTTCTCTAAGGGCAGTATTCTTTGCGGCTGCGGTTTCGCCGAGAGCATTCGCAGACGCTCCTGCATGTCCGAATTGCACCCAAAACCAATAATTTAGACGGCAACAAACTGCACCTGTTTGACAGCATTTGGCTGACCTCAGAAGCTATGTGGTCGGCACATGTTCCAATGCACCAAGCCACCAACGGTTTTGTAATCCTGCCATCTCGAAGAGCATCAACGATTTTATACTCCTCGACGCCACCAACTTCTCCGAGAAGAACCATCATTTTCACTCTGTAATTCAAAATCGTTGTTCTAGAAGCGAACAAGAAATTGCGATGAAGAAACTGGAACAACGGTACTTTCAACTATACACCCACAAAAAAACGTTCAAAAATTGGCCCACTGTTTACGAACACCCCCAACGGTTTGTCGCCTCATCGTGGCTGGGAGGTGTTGCTGAGAGTCGGGATGCGATGTACATCGAGAGGATTCATCTTCCTGGCAGGATCTCCCACGCTTAGGAGTCCGGCGTTTTCATAAGGAAGCCTAGCTAAGAGTAAACCAATACTAGGATTCACCATCGTCCTGGTATTAAAATCGCATGGTGGCAAATCTCCCTCTGATCCACAAGGGCTGCGACTGTTTGTTGCGGTGGAGACCTGGAGCAGACTTTGGCCAGGCTGAGCTCGGGATTTTACCATTCAAGTATCAAGTAAATTTACGAACAACAGAAATACATAATGTCAATGAATCATCTCCCAACACCTACTGCAATCTGTGGTGTTCTTGATTCTTAGCGGTTATCTTTGTATAATACCATCAATGGGGTACTTTACAAACCCAGAACTGTATATAATTCTCAAAACTCTTCAATTTTAGACCTGTCGTCCTTCTGATAACGCAAAATATGATCCGTGTATGTGGATCCAGGATAACGATCGCCACCAATAGCAATACCCTCGAATACTCCGTCAGTGTTCGCCGAAATTATGTTGTTCAATTCATTTGACATCCCTCCACTACGCGAAACATACGCAACACTGAAATTTAAATCCTCAGTAAACGAGTATTATCTGCCCATTACTCAATAACTATCGGCTTCCACAGCAAAGCCTACAATATGACATAATAGACGGAAATTTTTATTATGCGAATGAAAATTTATGTGCGAAGTACTTTCTGCTGAGGTTATGACAGCGTTTGGCTGAGTGGATTGAATGTCAATTTGACCTTTCTAGGCTCTGAAGAAAGCGAAATCGCCGCGTCAGCTGCTCTCTATTAATACATTGACTAAGTGAGAGATCCCATAATTTTGCTAAGTAGTGTAAAGCTTTGTACTAGAATACTTTGAATTTAGTACTGTTGTTGGTACGATGTGAGGTTAATCATTGTCATAGAAAAAAGCTAATGGGTTCAGACTAATAAATCCAATTCGTGTGAAAAGAGAAGAAAACTGAATCATGATCCTACAACACACCTAGCAAGGCAGATAATAAATGTTAGCAGCTGATGATCCAAGCAGGAAGACTTACATCGTTGCAAAAAGAAAAAGCTATTGAAAGCAGACGAATTACTCCGAAGCAGTGCCATCGGGAACTCCGTGATGCTCGACTATCTGCTCTAATGAACGAAGATTTCAACAGTATCACCTGATACTATATCATGGAAGCAATAATGGAAAGGTTATGTGCCAATTTTTTCAATTACACAATGCTGGTCTCTATACAAGAAATTTCCATTAAAGACATGCTACCAGAAATTCTCTTCTCCAATAATCAAACACAGAGAGGAGGCATAAGGAACGATACAGCTCAAAGATCTGATGATATTAAAGCCGACTTCTATCGAGTTCAAAGCAATAAACTACACGTACTTCTGGTAAGCAATATAACATCTTACCTTCAAAAGGAAAAAATTAAAGTGGAAGACGTCGCGCAAGGTCAGCCTGCCCAAGAAGGACGACAGAAGGAATCCTTGTAAATATCGTTCGATATAGAGAACATTGTCCATAAATATTGAATGTTCTCTATCCATTCATATTGTATCAGGTCGCTTTATCATCTCCTAAGCGCCATGTTCTCTGTAAACTTTCCCACGACGATCTGATAACCCAAATGTGAAAACATTTGCTACGTTGTTATCCCGTGTAAACACTCTCGGCTACAGTACTTTGTGTGCATCTCGCCCTATCAGATTGTACCGTCTCAAAAACTTCCTAACACTTCTTGTTAGCAAACCATATCTTCATCCATTCTAGCCTTACTCCTCCCATCGTTAAACGAATATAGGTAGCCCAACAGTTAGCCTTCTCAGTTCATTCAGTTCGCTTAGTTCACTCAACCAGTTGCCTTCCAATCCGCCTTTTATACTTTGCATCGTTGTTATTCTGCTGTTATTGTTACTACAGCTATAAAATTTGTAACCCATTGTCTGAAGGTGTTCGGTTCAGTAACTTACATACCGAAGACTCGCGTAGCAGCTATAAAGACTAACATTCCCAACTACCTGGAATTCATAAAAAGTAGCGAGCGCCACAAAAAACTGATGCATCATTCAAGCAGGCAAGCGGCAGTCAAGTACGTTATTCTAATTACAGAAAAAAAGAACAAAACATAACTACTGGACATGCGCAGTCAGAAGGGCTCAGCATTCAAAACGAACAGCATTAAATGACGCCCACCTTCATTCACAAGAGCTTATAGCAGTTAAAAGGGGCTGGAGCCTTAGAGAGCATGACCTCAAAACTTTAAAACGCATTGGACGAACTAGCTACACCATTCGAAAAAGCGCAATCGACGCTATCAAATGTTGATCAAGAGTCAGAACGACATTCGAGTGCCGTAGAAGCAATCGCCGAGACGTTCGACTCTCGCATACTTCTCTACGCTCGGTTTAAAGACTTCAAAGTTTACGGCGAACGTTCCAAGACAATATACAAACCCTCCACTCCAAACAGTGGAAATAATGAGTCTATCAATGCTAATGTTATAAAGAATCTAGAACTACCCATAATTCTCATTCCAACATTCACTGGTGACATATGAGATTAGGATAAATTCTGAGAGATTTTTAACTCAAACATATGTAAACAGAACTATGTCAAAGCCATCGAATTCCTTAGCAATAAATGTGGCAGTTCCGAAGAACTAATTCGTCATTTACTTAAAAAACTGGACCGAACTTTCTTTCGATCACCAACCATGCATGAGCAACATATGCTATAAGAGGATATACAAGTAACTATAAGCCAACTAACCCAAAAAGCAGAAAACGCAAGCAACCACTGCATGTATCAAACGGTACTGTCGAAATTTCCAGCCGACACTCAACGCAGGGTCTCAACAAAAAGATCACCTTATCCGACAAACTCTTTAATATGCAACAACTTCTAGAATATTTCGAAGAAATCATAACTAATCTCCTAAAAAAAGCGTTAGTAACAACAGAGACAGGCACTAGAAATCACAACCATCCTCGCTCTTCGAAATGTACTGCAAAGGCAACCATAAGCCTTTCTATTGCAACAAACACAAAACACCTCAAGAAAAGTATCACTAACTCAAAAATAATAAGCTGTGCCACATATTTAAACCCCCATCTCACAACAAATTCCAGTGCAATGGATCTTCATGCCGTAAACGCCAGAAATGACACCACACTTCATCCTGATTCTACTTTACTCCAGCAACTTTCTACGATGGAATTCGATATGTGATTTACCCTTTCCTATGAGGGCACACAGTCGCATCCTAATGAGACAGTAGGTTTTACCATGAACTTATTTTTATTGATGCCGAATCGCATGCTGTGCTTTTGCACGAAGTCTATATTCATCGATAGGTACTAGTTGGTAAGGTCTAGTGATAAGGTTGGGTGTAAATAGGATTCAGCAAACTGGCTGACCATCTGCGTCCCATACTTCAAGTGGGACGTTCCTTAAAATGCATTCTTGTACGCCATTAGACCCAAAGGTGTTCAAACGTAGTTTGCTTTCTTCCACTGTGGGTCAGTAAGGTCTTTGTGCGAGTTTCTCGTGAATAAACGATAATTCGCCTCCAGTGTCTAGCATGACTGCTACTTTTTGTAGTTGGTTTGTTGTGTGATTCAGTACAGTCACTTCTCACTTCTGGGTACAAATGTTGACTGTACGTCTTGCTTGGAAGAATTATGGTTCTTCATCTTTCGGTGGTGTCTTTTCCACTACGTGACTTAGTTCGGACGTGAAGGTCGGTACCTTCTGATTCTTTTCCTTACTGCTGGTTTTACTGCCACTTTTATCGGCTGTATTCTCTCAAAAGGTATGAACGTTTTCCCCTTTGTTTCTAGGTTGAATTGGCATTTGTGGCATAAAGATCCATTGCACTGGAATGTATTGTGGGATGGTGATGCACATATATGGCAGAACTCTTTTTTTTTTTGATGTAGTGATATCTTTTGTGAGGTATTTTGTATTTCTCGGAGTTGAAAGCCTTGTGGTTGTCTTTGCAGTACACGCAGGAGATTGGGGACGACTGTGATTTCTAACGGCTGCCTCTGTTGTTGCTAAAGCTGGTGGTATTAACAGAAGTTGGAGAGGTAGCTTGGGATGCTATTAGTTCATCATTAGTTATGTCTTCTTCAAGATGTTCTAGAAGATGTTGTGCATTGAAGAGTTCGTCGGATGCAGTGATTTTTTCGTTGAGGCCCTACGTTTAGTGTCAGCTGGGAATTTTGATAGTACCTTTTGATATAGGCAGTAGTTGTTCACGTTTTCTCCATTTTGCGTTAGTTAGCTTATAGTTGCTTATATATCTACTAATAGGATATTTGCTCATGCATGGCTGATGATCGAAGAGAGATTCCACCCAGTTTCGTAAGTTAGTGACGAATTAGTTCAGTCATCTATCCCATAAATGCGAATGCTGTTAGCACTCGATTACTGGAAAACGCACTGCTTCAACACAGTGCGATAAATGATTATCGCTAAGGTTTAGCAGCATCCATTCGACAAACTTAATGACCAACATGGAGAACTGTCAAAAGTGTGACAATTAAAGGTCATAATCGATCATAAACCACTAAACGTAAATACCAAGAGCTGCGTGATAAAAAGTCTTCTTCAAAACTTGGCCTGACCATTGACTAGTTATGAGGATAATAAGGCATACTGAGACAACCTACCTTCCAGGACGATACAGTTTTGATGCTAAGATATTATCCATCATGCCTCCAGTGTTACCAATCTTCAAGCATCCTGGCTTTATACCACCCACGGTAGCGGGGCCGATAAGCGTAACACCTTTGTCATCAGCAGCCTATGAAAAAGGAGTAATAACTGAATATTCAGCGATAAGATCAACCAGATACCTTTATCAATTTACGAGTCTGATTTTCGGGAACACCCTCGGCGATGATAGCAATGACACGAATCTGTGGGAATTGTAGGGCCTCGAGTACTGTTTCATAGACAGAACGCAGAGAAGCAAACGTGATCAGAACGCTCGCATCTGGATGTGTTGCGAACGCCTTAGCCATCGACTTATAGGCAGGAATTAAGATTTCCTAAACCTAAGGGAGTAAAAGAACCATTTAAAAGCTTCAACACCAAAGAATTCCTGGTAAAAAAACATTTTAGGAGTTTCAACAGTAAAAGATTTCCAGGCTGTTTCATGAGATACAGAAGTTACAAGTTGTAGAAATGACCATGCGTTAACAGAGGAACGATTTAAATCCCTACACGATGTCCAAAATAGTATTTCTGTTTGTTATCTCCTGTGAATGGATAAGTCGACGCGACAACGGATGGCTCGAGACGGTGGCAGACATAATCGAAATCCAGCATACCCTGAAAAGCACTGGCAAAGCAATGTAACAGGCGTAATAGTGAAAGTTTGTAAACGAAGTTACTCGAGAAACCTAAAAGAGTATTCTCCAAAACAATTTTTTCTACGTCAGGAGATACGAATGCCGTTATTGAACAGAGATTATTTAATTTCTCTATATGTTTCGTCTAAAACTTTTCGAAACCTGGGAAGACTATCATGGACTCAATATGTTATGATAGCATCTCTTTGTTCCCTGCTTTAAGAAATAATTCTATCAAATTCTCTGAATATGTGGATTTGAAAAAAAAAACTAAAGATCAACCTGAATGGCTTTCTGCTGTTGACCCCAAATAATAGCCTTCGTATTGCTCTCAAACAAACTGTCGTACAACTTCTCTACCTGAAGTAACGAGTAACAAATTCCAGCAACGAAAAAGTTCCGGAAAGCTAAGAAGAACTACGTCATTAGAGTGGTTGACAACAGCTGTCTTTGCGGAGTCCCCAGCGCTTGCGTCGGAGCCTAAATCGTTAGATGGATGACGAGATGAGGCGCGCACCCCTCCAGCTGTCTAAAAGAGATGCCATCGGAAACAGCTATTTTTAAACCACACAACGGAACAAATTTAGCATAGATTGGAAAAAATATTCAGCTTCTAGTAATACCCTATTTATGTCTTATGTCTTATGTCTATGTCTCTGTCTGTCTAGAAAACACTGTCTTATGGTCGACACAGGAGATCGAAAGTTCTACGTTGTGTTGAAAGAATGGATTAAATATTCGTCATACATTTCTCTCCGGGCTCAGAAGAAATTGTCCCGTTGTCTGCGGCGCATGAGGTACAGCTGGAAGATCGCGAACCCCAAGTGCTGCGCCGACGATGGCAGTCATGTGAGTTTCCGGACCAAAAACATGGATCGGCAGCTCTAGTTTTTGTGCTAAACAAACATAACCTTCTTCACAAAATATTAAACGAACCTAGTATTTCCTATTAACAGTATTGACAAGTTTACTTCAAACTACGCCATTATCTGTTTAGAAGCATTATAAATGTAAACAAGGTAATTTGTACCGGCATCCTTGATTCTCCGAAGACCTTCCTGATAATTCGGGCCACCACGGCGAACAAATATAGTGACTCTATGTTCACGCAAGCGCTCGACAAATACTTCGAACGCCCGTACGATGCCCTACAACAAACAGCGTTTCGAATACATCAAAGGCACTGATTGATTCACGTCATGGAATTTTATCAACAAGCGCTGATCTTTACCACTTTTAACGCCCAGCGCTAATTATCCATCCTCTAGCCCGATCATCCAAAATGACGTACTTAAAGCCAACTTAAGAAAATCAACGCACTACCGTCGCCCCAGTAGAAATCTAGTTGCTAAGCGTAAATGTATTTCGCTTTTACTCCCTTCCCTTTCTATCTCTCTGGTCACAATGAATACAGCTGTGCGAATCTCCAAACGCGACTACCTAAGACCTTGCAGTAAAAAGAGTACTGCCCTCAATACTCAGCACACCAAATGTAGTTACGTAGTCACGTGTTCAGAGCTTATAACCTTTGATGAGGCAAACCCATAAAAGTGTAGTCCGGATATCTACTAAACAGTACCGAAATGAGAAATATTGTGCTACATTGCAGACTTCACATCAAAAAACTTACTTCTTGGTAAGAAATAAGATCTTTGGTGGACAGAGTCATATGGTGGTGCACGGTCACATGCTTACTAATACAGGATGGTACATACTGCAAACTTTCTTGCTAATAACAACATCGTTTGGCAGTGAGTTTTGATTATTTATCCAATAAGGTTTGATCCCCCTAGAACCTAAAAAAATGCTAGAGACCGAAAGCAGGAAAAAGACCATAAACGATCGCAATTTTTAGATGATTGTCGAGGAGAAGACGGAAAACGAAGACCTACTTTCAAAACTGTGCTGTCTCATCGATTAAAGTGTTTTGGGACACATCTCCTAGCCCAGCGAAGAAGTGGCCCAAGACAAAAGGTACGTGAGGCTTGACTCTACTTCTACGCAACTAACATAGCTAGTAATCATTCGCACTGCAAGAGGTCATTATACGAGAACTGACAACGGCAAATGGAAAAAAAAAATTATGGGTAGCCATCAAAGAAGAAGTGAGCTGAAATCCAAGCGGTACCTTCTAAAATGTTTGTTACCAATGAAGGAAGAAGGCTCTGTTCTCCAACCTACGCACCGGTTCACATGATTTTTGCCTGACATAAACATTTCCACATTGCGTTTTCCTTGCACTGTAATCACGAAGTAAATCAACTGCCATCAGCAATCACCCTTCAACAGGATTGATCTGGGGAGCCCAAATCACGTCAAATGGCAAAAAATGGATAGAACTAGCTGAGAAACAGGCGAAAAGAAAGACCAGCATGGTATGGTGGTGAACGCGTTACTCCCCGGAAAGGAGAACAGCCGTTCGTTCCCCACCACATACACCTGCGGTCCGGAGTTTTGCAAATATCTCAGCATCATTAAAGTTATATTTGGCAATGTATACCTGCCGTTAAAAAGAACAGGCAGTAAATAAAAAAGATTAAGATTGTGATCAACGAGGTATATTCGTATTAGGATACGACAGAAACGTAACTCACTGTTACCACGCAAGAAACATACCACCTCTGCGCACAGCCATTTCTGTGAATTGATACAATCCAAACATTAAAGCAGTTTTCAATAAGCATCATTATTATTGATACTCTATAGCGTTCGAGGTCAATTTTATGACAGCGTATTTCTTCCTCTACTAAGGCTAAGTTTAAGTAGCCAAAAAGGAAGAGTCTAAAAAACTCACTCCGAAAGTTTTAGCGACATTTGTAAAATTAGCGATAGATCCTCCAATTATTAGAACTTTTCCTTGAGGATTTGGTGGTCCTTCAGTCATAACAGATAGCAAAGTCTTCGCATACTCGAATGTCTGCGTCTCGGATGGATCACCAGAATATTCCCCATAATTGGCGAGTTCACTTGCACCACCGAGATCGCAAACCGTGTCGCTGCAAATTTCTCTATACAATTAGAGAATACACAAAATCTAAACAATATTCATGAAGAAATCTATGAATAAAATTCCTCCTGAGGCTTCTAGAGTTCAAGAACTTACGTGAACACAACTGATGCTCCGCCGCCGGCAACCATCGTCCATATGCGACCTCTTCTGTTCAATATTGTTAACTTCAGAGAAGCTCCAGTTTTTGCATCGAGATCAGCAATGTATTGTTCCTAAAAATGAATATTATAACAAAACCAAAGGCACTAACTGAGAGAAAGACGACAAACGAAGGTTTCCTTTACGGGAATGCCATATCACAGTGCTCATTGCGAACGTTTTCCACAAAATTATCAATGTTACTTCACACTTCTTTCCACTTCTCATATACATCCACAATTTCACCTTAGACAGTGCTTGTTTGTAATAGTTAACCATATTTCTTGGCTTATTTCATATTTCTTGGTCCATTTTATCCCACCATCCTAATCTGATAAACTTCGCACAAACGAAGGTTCGTGTGCAGTGTCTTGTCTGATGTAATTCACCGCGGCTATCGTAATACGCTTGGAATCAGCTTTATCATATTGTAAGGACTGAGAAAAATTCCAGCATATCTCGAAAAACATCTCTTATTCTTCTAGTAAAAGCCGGCCCACTATGAAAGGAATATAAGCACTACCATCACTTATCTTTCAATTCGCTCGTGTAGGGAGTGCTTTTACGGTCCCTATCTCTTTGCTTTTTCAATTCATACAGTAGAACCAGTGCTGAGTTCTACATCAACATAAGCGGTAATTCCTAGGGCCTATTTTCTATTAACCTCGGCAGTGTTCAATAACTTAATAGTTCCCTCTTGTGCAGCCATAAGGTTTTTAATAAAAGCTTTACTAAACAAGGGCTGACATTTCGGCGACTTCACCTTCTTCAGAGCTTGGAAAGATCAAGCTGCTACGCAATGTACTCAGCAATTACAACCTCAGAAAATCTCAACACCAAATTTTCAACCGCATGGGAAACAGGTTTTTCTAAACACTCACCGTTTTGTTATTCATAAGTATTTCAGTTAATTGATAGAGAATAGCCGCATAGAGTCTTACATGTGAGAGGAATGTAACTGCTTCAGATCAAAAAATAAGAGCTATGGCGTGAGGTCAAGTATGATCACAAGACACTTCTCTCTCTGCGGCTTAATTTTGGAATTTATCCAGAACTCCTCAAGAGTTTTAAACGCTGATGTTTTGAATTCTGTGACAGGATACTGGGAACCATTTTGGAACCTTCCCCGTTATGTCACTGTGCCTTATGCGCGCCTGGTGGAGTATTTGGCTTAACTTCAAGTTTACCGACTAGATGTGTTCTTTTAAGCAGATGCAAAGTTTCGGTTTCTTCTTCTAATACAAATCATGGAGCTTCGTTTTCATAGACACTCCGCATTTCTTGTCTTACAAGCAGGTAGGAACTGGCAGATAACGCGGCGGTCAGTGGCACTTCAATCACTGCTACCCAATTCTCTAAACCGGTCTTTTTGGGTATCGCTTTATAGCTGTGATTACTTCATTAGGAATAAAGCGCAGGAGAAACAGAATCTTACACTGGTTAGAATTACCGCTGAGATCATGGCTTTTCTTCCACAGCTATCCTGAGGAGCTACAGTTCCGTAGCCATTGGAAATGGTTATTTGTTATGCCACGTTCAGGGATTCCTCATTCTGCACTCCTCCTTTGGCGACACCGCTGGTGTTCGAGACATGTTTCTCTCAAGCGCCGTTTTTCTGTGTGAAGGTGAAAAGAGAAGTAATGAAAGTGTTTTTGTTACTTGGACTTTGGTACCAGTTGGTGACGTGGCCGTTTTCAGATAGTAATTTCAAAGTTCAGAAATAGAAACCAACTGCTTCCTCTCGATGTTTTCTTTCAATACGCAGACACGAGGTCGTGTCTGCTTATTGAAGAAAAACATCGAATTATCAATCAATGCCGAGGTTAACAGAAAGTCGGTCTTGGGAACTGCTTCCTTTCGGTTTCTCTCGGATATATTTTATGTATCCTAACTGATCTCGGACTATATGAAGATTCAACAACTCAAAACAATTGTCCATCTCCTCTCGTGTGCATCAGATGACAAAACAATCGTCGATTTATCGACAGTAGGCCGATGGCCCAGGATAGAATGAATACTGGAACTTTTATTCTGGACATGTATGCAATGGGAAGTTGTGATGTCAGTCGCTATCCCATTGACAATCCTCTCGTTTATGCGTAAAATTTCTCGGATCATTTGAAGATTCGGCTGTATAGGCCTTCTTTTCAGAGGACCATGAGCTGTCGAATCGATAATTCACACATGTATATTGCCCCTCAGTGTTACATAAAGAGTTAAATGATACCTTGCACTGAGAACTCATTTGTCACGTATGTAGAAAAGAGGTAGGCGTCGAAATCCATCAGGTAGCACTACTCACATTACACAGAGGATCTAGAAACATCTGAGTGTTCGTGAGATAGGTTGGCAAGTATTTCAACAACTCGTTGAGTAGTAGAACCATATAAACCATGTTATTCTATCCGAAGGCCTGTCTATGCAGCCTATTACTGATGCAAGTTGAAAGTTAAAAGTGTCGGTGAAAAAAAGATCATTAGTGGATACTAACTTTGGTATTTTCGTGAGCATGACTTTAAGCAGCGAGGTAACTATGGTATCAAACCGGCCACGCCTGTTACTTTGATCTACTCTCTGTTTAATTTTCGGCACCGACTTCATAACACTTGAAGCATTCTGGATAAACTTCAGAAATACAAAAGTGAACCACAGGTAGTGCTTCGTGATCATTCGCGACAACGGACCATGCCTCAGGCTGATTTTTTGATCTGAGTCAGGTACATTCCTCACTCATACAGGAATTGCAGTTGTTAGCTAGCGAGTAATGGAAAACTTATGAGGAACAAAACGGTGATTGTTCCCCGGATCGACTTCCTATTAACCTAGGCACTGGATTATAAATGTGTCGTTTTCTTTATCAGCAATCGCGAGGTTGTGCTGAATAACAGAAAGAGGGCGACACTGTCGAAACGCCAGCTACCGTTGTTGTATATGTTCCATGTGCACCGAAACAAACATGTGTTGAATAGCAATCTCGCGATAGGTGATAAATCAAAACGGTTATTGCTAGAAAGAAGCTGTTTCTAAGAAAAAGCTGAAGCTACGATCTAGATCCAATTAATAAGAATTTTCTGTTGAGATTATGAAAGTGTTTTAGTGAGTAGATTGCGCGTCAATTTGATCTTTCAAGGCTCTGAAGAAGGCGAAGGCACCGGAAGGACAGCGCTTATTAAGCATTTTTATCAACAAACTAATGTCTGTTAAAGAAGTAAATGTTAATATAACCACTATTAACCTCAATCATATGTTATGACTTTTCCTTAGTTATTCTTAGTACCTAGCCAAACTTGTTAATTTTACCATGTTGTTGTTGTTGTTGTTGTTGTTGTTGTTGTTGTACTAGCTTGCTGCATGATAGTAGTTCAATTATCCAAGTGTAAGGTGCACGGTATGAAATTAAGAATCGAGAAACCGGAGTAACTATAGCGAACAAACGAGCATACACAAGCGAGCAGCTTGTTGCCGAGTAGAACATCGTTCAAAGGGAAAATAATCTATCTTAAGCACCACCATTCAGGGCTCCATAATTGTGTTTCATCTGGCGAATATAACCCACAGTGGTATTGCAGTACCTTAAGACTGGAAACTCCATTTCTCGATTCTCAGTCACAGTTTCACAAACGTTATAGGGCAACATATGTAGATATATCTATCTACGTATATGTATATTTACACATTTTTGTGTATATATGCATATATATACATATTTATATTTATTGATCTGTTAAGTAGCCGAAATCACGATAGATCTACTTTCGAAAGCCGGAGAGATACTCAGTGAAGACTAATCTCTAGTAATCTATTCTGTGAGTATTGAATATAGTCATGAACTGTTACAATGTCTTTGTATATTGGCCACAAAATACTTTGGTGCATTTGCCGCTCCAATATTTCTACCCATGGACCGTTGCACCAGTACCAGAAATATGAACATTGAAATAAAGTGGTTTCGAAATATGGAATCAACTTCACAAACAATGTCAACCAGTTTGTGCAACAAATGAACGGTAGTGCAGAATTTTAAAAAAGCTGTATTCCAAAACAGTTCTTAAGTCTAACCTCCTTTGTAAGTTCACGTCCAAAAGGAGCAGGAAATTCGACATCCGAACCAGTTCGCATCTTCCACTTGTCGCAACACAAAAAGTTGGCTGTTTCATCAAGTTTCGCAGCGAGATCAAGAATGTACACTTTCCCACTTTTCACAACTAAAAAATAGAAAAGAAAGCAGTTGAAAGCATGCACATATAGCGCAGTAACTTACCTAGAGGATTAATTTCCAGATAAGTAAAGTGTAATGACTTGTAAGCAGCATAAAGGGCCAATATGAATGTTTTCAGTATCCTGAAGAAACTGGTGAACGAACGAAGAATAACTACAATAAAATGAAAACTCACGCTGTTTTGTCACCAAGATTTCCAATAAGCTGGCCTAGTTCTTCTTCTGTAGGCATCATTCCATTCTCATCTAGTGATACGTCGACTCTAATAGTTCGCGCCTGAAGTAGGCAGGTTTTAAGAATTACCCCATCCAAAATAATGCATGAAGTCTAAACCTATTATGCTTTCAAACATGCCAAGAACAAAACAATAACTTCGCTAATCCATTACCTTCTCATCAATGTCTCCAACATCAACTCCACCGTGCTCGTAGAACATAATGACGTCATTGCATCGCTGACTGTAGATAGCGATGTACAGCTCATCCGCATCATTGTGTGCGCAAAACGGCTCTACGATGAAAGTGTGAAGGCGACCATTCGTTTTACCCACCTATCCAAAATAGGCTTTGCTTGTGAAATTTTACTAAACAACAGATCATAAAAACCGAACTTTTTCCTGGTATATAGAAAAATGAAAACATACAGACTTTGAATTTTTAGGGCATAATGACATCTCTGAATGAAACATCTTTCCATTTCTTATTCTACTCTATCTATAGCTGACTAGCAAGATCTAGCTGCACAATCCGCTATAGAAATAAGTAACTTTGAGATCAAATAAGGAACGTCACCTAACAGCGACTAGACGTCTAAGGATTGAGCGAAGGCAAAACAATTCAGCGACTTTTGAAAAACTAACTAGAACAACTATGATCACGAAATTCAATTTTTACGCGTATCATTTTCTAGGCTCTTTTTTCTAAGAGTTAGCAGTTTACAAAGATTACGAATTAAATTTAACCATAAATATTTGATCGATGTGCAAAACACCTGCCTGAACAAACGTGTTAGATTTCTCCATGAACCACTTTTTTATCTCGTTCACTGTTCCACACTTCACCAATCCGTGTTTTCCACGACGCTTTATTAATTGATCCGGTTTGATGACAGCTTTCTGAAATGGGCTTTCATGCATTCTTTAGAATAACCTTTGTCAAATCTTCCTTTCTACAACGTACTACCGACGAATACAACTAAGAATGGAATGCATGGCACTGCCTAACAGATCACCTATTTTGTCACAATTTTCTCACAGAGGTTAAAGTCGAATAGGACAGGACGGAATACCTGTGTTTCATTCAACCATGTGGAATCCCTGACAATGGCATCGAAGTCGTCTCCAGCCGAAAGACGTACAGCAGTCGGTGCGTCGATCAAGCCGCAACATTCCAGGTGTCGATAAAGCAGTTCCTTGCCCGACAGTTCACTTACCGCCTTTGCTGACATACCTGAAACGAGGGCCACACGATAGAATTGTTGTACTTTGTCATAACAACAAATGTGATAATGCGCATCGGTTACAACAGTAAATTACTACGGCCATCTACCATTCACGTTGCCTTTTTCAAATAAAGATAATGAAGGGAGACTAACGAAAACGAATTGGTATAAAACGATTAAGGACTTTCGATCAACAACCGCTTAGATACGGGTGCACAGTGTAAGAGATGTTCGTATGGGAAACAGATTCGGAAATTGTGTGTTTTAACCGCTGCCTACTATTTTTTATAATGAAATTACAACTATCGATACAATCAATGAAATGGAATGTCGAACATCAGTGTACTGTAGCTCAACAACTAAAACGTTTCCATTGACCAACGATCCTCCAAACAAAATCTAGTTTTTTAACCTTGATCGGACGTTGCAGGCAACATCCTGACAAAACAAAAAGGTCGAAACATGACACCCTAGAAAATTCTGAACCGTGCACAATTCACATTCAATTCGTTCAGTGAAGTGATAAAACAAATCACAGACAAATCATGTGAACGAAGAGTACTAAGTTGTAAAAACTGTTGTTTTCTTGTTCTCTTAGATATGGAAAAAGAATGAACAACAGTTCGGCCACTGCAACTAAGCACGAGGGCCAAAATTTATGGAACTCCACGAAGTGTTATAGATCAACAAATATACACCAACATTCCTCTCAGTACCGTCAAATACACTCCATTTTGTTTTCGAGTACAGCATGAATGTAGAGTAACAACTTTTGCTTGATAGAGTAAATCTCCACAAATCCTGTGCGCCTCATATATCAAGCAGTTTTTGTAAACTTGTTCACCGTTTTCACGGTAAAACTTCCGAATACATTGGACCGCACCACTGTTTGTTAACAAATGCACGGAAAAAATTTATTTCAGATCTCAGTCCTACAGATGACCTGATTTATCCTCCTTCTTTGATATTCGTAATTCTAAAAGCTAAGACGTTGAGCAGTTCGCATCTAGTTAAAGCAGAGGTACGGATATGGAAAATGTCAGTGACAAAAAAAACAAACGACGAAGATTCACTAGAAAAATGTTGCCTAAAGAATGGATAGGTGGCGTGGTATGGATTACTAACGAACTTCGGAAACTCACAGTTGAATAGTTGATAAGCTTTCAGAAGTCTGCAAAGAACGGCAGTAGGTTCATCCTCCCGGCAGATCTCTCAAGCTGAGAAGAGCTTCAAGGTTTTCCTTGTATTTATCGTCCACAAATGTTTTCAAACATTTTACTTGTTGGTTTGGCTGCTGCTTGAGGATTTCGCCTTTTTCATGAATGTCGCATAATTATGGTAAAAAAAAATACAATAAACTAACTGCCACGACAGACTTTCCATTTACCTCGGCATTGGTCAAGTAATTTTCTTCGTATTTTTGTTGAGCAAACGCGAGGTGTTATTATTCTTTGTTCACGATTAAGCTGTTTCGGCGGATTTCGCCTTCCGCAGAGCCGCTTCCTATGAGGTTTCCACTAAGTATGTCACGTAGAGACCAACCGCACAGAAATCACGTGGAAGTATAATGCATATATCAACTATATACTATCAACTATCAACATATATCAAATATATCAACTATTTATGCCGAAGTTTATAGAAAGTCGTTTTTTGTGTTATTAAGAAGTTGCAGAGCTCATCCCAGCTATCTGCGAAGCAGATGCATGAGATGGTCGCTATGAAACAAAGGAGAACATGCAAGAATAGACATAGGATAAATACCAGCAAGCAGTTGAAGTAAGTTAAAGTAAGCAGGGGAAGACACGACTATATAGAAAAGTGGGACTATTCGGCGAATAGTTGCTATGGGAAGCCAAGGTGAAGAAAGATGAACACGGTGAATAAATAGAATGAGGACAGAAATAAGGCAGAAGCAAAAGAAGGAAAACAAAGGTAAATCAAATAAAGTGAAATACCTAAACAACGGAGGTGATTGCTGATGGGAAAAAGATCGATAGAACTAGCTGAGAGACAGGCAAGCCTAAGGGTCCGGATGGTGTAGTGGTGAAGTGCGTTGCTCCCCGGTAAGGACAACAGCGCGTGTTCGGTCCTCACTGCATACATCTGAGGTCCGGAGTTTTGCAAATATCTCAGCATTTCTTACGAGTTATATCTCGCGACATACCCTGCCATTAAGAAGAAAAAGGCAGTAAATAAAAAGGTTAAGATTATCTAAATAACATTAAATAATAAGGAAGAAATACCCATGTGCCCAAGTAAAGTGAAAAGGGTTGAAAAGCAGATATAATTCAAATAAAGTGGAAAGATGCGAAGGTTAACAGATTTCTACTACTGCCTCAGTTTATCTGGGTGGAATGCCGATTTGTGCTTCCTCAGGTCATTCCCGTTGACGGCTGACTGCTCATAGCACCATTAGGCATCATAGTGCTTGTATATACAAAAGTGTTTTTTTGAGGACGCGGGAAACATTCACAGGAAAAGGAGCACTTCTTCCTAGTGAGCTAATTATAGGACGAACAATCACAGCAGAGGACGACGACGACGACGACGACTACTAGTGAGGCAATAGAAAACGGTAAAAAACGGATATATACAAGTAGAAATGACAGAACAAGATAAAAGAGGTAGATATTGGATCAGAAAGAGACAAAACAGAGAGAACAGAGAGTTCAATCCCTGTCGATCTTGCTACTCACTTCAACTTCTTCAGGAAAATGAGAACTCCAGAGGTGTTCATCTCCGTTGACTCGGTGTCCTCGATATCCAACAGAGTAATATAAAAATATTCGACTGCCCATTTTTCGCATGATTTTAGAATGTTGGCCGAATTGAAGTGTTTATTCGGTCGTAATGAGCAGTTGGAATAAATAAACTATCCGATGTCAGACTACAATACAAAGGATCCAAACAATTAGCTAAATTAGAAGGTTCACCCTCCTTCTTCTCAGAGATTCATTTCCCATTAGATCATTTCTGAGGTTGAAATACTTGAGCTAGTATATAGAAGGTGTCCGTTGAGTCAAGCGAGTCAAGCAAAGTCAAGTTTATCACACAATAGGTAGGTACAATAGAAAGGAATAATGAATACAAATACATGATTAGTACAAGACACATTGAAGTGAAAGACAGAACATTCTTAATAAGTCTTCTTTATCGGGAACTACTATCATGCTTGTTAACCTTAGACGTTTCTGGTGGATAATTTGCTTCTAAGATCTTGAAAGTAGACGATAAAAATCCTCTCGGCGATAAGTGCTCGATCAGTGATGAAGAGCTCATCAAGCCTACTACAATGGCACAACCGACGGTAGTTTATCTAATCGTTGCGCAACACAGTTCTACAATGCATCAATGCATAAGTCCGTAGTCATTTTCAGTCATATAGTATATCAGCACTTTAGAAAGTACTTGAAAAATAAGTAACATCGAGACAAGTAATAAACGAAAGTGAAAAAGGAGAAAGAGTTCGGTTGTTAGAGATGATACAATACATTTCAGGCGACTAAAATGATTCACGGTGACCTACAGATATATCAGGTCAGTGCTAATATCCCCAAGACGGGTTTGGCACCAATTTGCCCACCACAGAGGTATGGAAGGCGTGATTAGGCCGGTGCGCGAGATTGAACCAAGGATCACGTCTGTATCGCAAAGCACCTCTGGCTACTGGTCTATGTGCGCCACTAAAAAGTGAAAGTAGACAGTAAAACCCTTGAAATATCATTTCAATAATGCTGAGATAACGCTATACCTTTTTATTTTCTGCCTACTATAATTTCGCGGCAGGGTACTAAGCGAAATGCAACCACAACGTTGCTGAGATATTTGCAAAACGCTGGACCGCAGGTGTCTGCGATGGAGAACGAACGCGCTATTGTCCTTTCCGGGGAGTAACGCGTTCACCACCACACCATGCGGGTCCTTTGTTTCGCCTGTCTCTCAACTACTTCTATCGATCTCTGCAATCAGCAATGACCCGTCGGTGGGATTGATCTAGGAAGCCCGCGTGGTGTGGTGGTGAACGCGTTACTCCC